TTCACATCAGAAGGACCTGCTCCTTCCGAGAACAGCTTCGGAACGAAATGAAAACTTTTTCAAATTCTGTTACATCCTGCAGCATCGAGTGGATCTGACAAAAACGTTTTCCAGTGTGGTCCTGGAAAAGTTCGAGTGCCTTTTTAGCTTAATCCAATGGGTTGTAATGGGATATTTTTTGAAGTGTATCTATCTATACCTTTGTCCTATATATTTGTAGTGGCAGCCCCTTTTTGACTCATTGACTAAATAATTAGGTAAAGCAAAATATTGCGCCCACGACAGAGTGTTCCGACCTCTGCACACATGCAGAGTGTTCCTACGTGCACAGCTAGAGTGTAGAGTCTGCACTGAAGGACCTCAATCAGGATATCACAAAATGAGAAAAAACTACCGGAAGCAAAAAAGCCGCTTGACATAACAACCGCCGGATTCAGAAACAAAAAAAGCCGCTTGACACAACAACCGCCGAATTCCGTAACAAAAAAAGCCGCTTGACATAACAACCGCCGGATTCACAAACAAAAAAGCCGCTTGACACAACAACCGCCGGATTCAGAAACAAAAAAAGCCGCTGACATAACAACCGCCGGATCCACAAACAAAAAAAGCCGCTTGACATAACAACCGCCTGATTCAGAAATTAAGCCGATCCAAAACTAAGCCTGCTTCCGGAGCTAAGCCTATCCAAAAATAATGGAAAGACGGCTCCGTAGCAGATAGCGTTAACAATGGCGCAGCAGGCATTGTTATTAAAAAAACGAGATTACCAACTCCTAGCAACCTATAGTCGTCAACTTCATGCAGCTCTTAGATGAACTCTTGGGATCGTCCTGGTAACTAATCGGCCCAGTTCAAAGGAAACAACAGAAGTAATAAATTTTGACCACAAAAATACATTAATTCAAATTGAGCTATTTTTGTTCAAGCGAGGAACTGAACGAAGGTGTAGAACTTCGATCGTAATAATGCATTAGGTACCTTGAACAAAAACCTGCCTCCTTGGATGAATCAGTTTTCGCTTAGAATATGCTTGAAAAAATATAAAAAAAAGTATAAAAATTATTTGCAGAAATTTTCAAAGAAACTGTTTTCTGGATTGATTGAGTCTCTTACTAAGCGCTTGTCAGAGTTTTTATTAAGTCTTCTTGATTCGGTTTCTTCGCTTGAAAATAAACTGACTACTCCAAACCAGCTTTTCTCGATGCTGAGAAAAAAATTGTGGTTATAATTGAGGGAGAAAAAATGCCAAGGAAGCGGTAAAGGACCTTTAGAAACTACTTGAACATATGTTTTCCTTTTTCTCAGCACAATTCACCATTTGTTTCTAACTACGTTGGTCGGTTGCAATTTTTGCACGAAATTACCCGCACTGACAAAAATGGATTTCGATCAATTTTAGTATGAAAAAAGTATGCAGAATAGATTGAAATCGATTTAAGTTGTAAAAAAATAAGTTAATCAAAACAAAAAATTCGAATTTAAATCGATTTATTTTCAACGCTAAAAAAATCGTTTCCAGTCGATTTTTAATCGATTTGATTGGATCTTAAATCTGACCTAAAAAGAAATCGATCCAAATCGATTTTAAATCGATTTAAATCGATTTTTTTTCACTTCTTTTTTTTCAAATTTTCGAATGGCGGAAAAAACTGAAAAGTTTTGTTACGTGTCGTTACATATGCCAAAATTGACTAAAATGCCAAATAAAAGAAATAATAACTAAACAAAGGTGTTAAATAACCGAGATTTTCCCTTTTTTTGTCTTGTTTTTTTTGTGATGTCTGTGAATTCTATTTTGTTGAGTACATTTACAGTGAGTCCCTCAGTTAATTTAATAACATTTTCAGGAAATCATGGGCTCAGTTCAAAATAATAAAGTTCAAAACAACAACTAAAAGCGACGAGGGAAACACTCCAAATTGAATCTGGGCTCCTTTTAGCTGGCGGCGGCCGCGGCAAAATTCTCTGGGCTTTTCAAGGAAAAGTGACGGTCATATGTTAATGCACACAATCTGATTTACAATGATGATTTTCTATGATTTCATTGCATTTTTTTGAGCCCAAAATCTGGTTTATTTCGACAATTTTCTTGATTTGTTACATATATTAATGCACAAAATCTGATTTATTTCAAGTTTTTTTATTTATTTCTTGAATTCTGAAATATCTGGCACGTGTGTTTTTATTTAAAAAATCATGAATAGGGTTTTTAATTAGTTTTCTAAATTGCTTGTTTTTTTGCCTTGTTAGCAAAAAAAATCGACTTTAGTGTGTCGTAAAATCCATCGAAATCGATTTAAATCGATTTTTTAGACACTTTAATCGACTTCAAATTTTAAAAAAGATCGATTTAAATCGATTTAAAATCTATTTTAGTTCGTAAAATGTACATGGTTAATCAATTTAAATCGATTTAAAATCGATTTAAAATCAATTTAAATCGAGCGGAAACCATTTGTGTCAGTGCGGGTAGATTCTAACTCAAAACTTTCGAACTGTTTTTTCTCGACACGGTGTCAATTTTGAGTTTTTGAGAATTTGTTCGAATCACGACTGAAAAGACATTATTATGATAAATCACTCGACTCATTTCAATGATAGTTTGAGTTGAATATTTTGTGTGGAAATCAGAGAAAATTATTTAAAATTTTAAAAATACACCCAGAGACGGGTAGAAGAGAAATGGCTCAGGATTCTACAAATTAAACCTACAAAACTCTTAATTAGAAATCTTCGAACTCTTTATTTATTAGAGAATCTGGATCGATCGAGATTTCAAGGAAGGACATGTCGTGCAACTGGCCGCCACAACACATCGGCCGGATAGGAAAAAAGCAACAAAAGGCTAGCGCTGTATCTAATTAGCATAAAATATTGTTTCATTTTAGAGAATCTTGTGAGAACTGGTTCCAATTGCCCTTTAACTCCTCAGGAGTAGTGTTTGCTTAAAAAACATAATAATCAAAACAGTTTTTATATCAGATTTTATGCAAAAAATATCCCCCCACACGCTATGTAAAGTGGTAAGTAATACATGTAGCATATACCTATGCAACAATCTGATTGAATCGATTAACTACATCTATTAGAATAAATATCTTCCGCGTTACATCTCTCAAACTGTTCAAAATGGCAATCTTTATACATTCCTAGCTGTACGAAAACTGATCAAAGGTAACACATTTTTTTAAGTTTGAGCTCAGGACTGCAATACCTTTTGGCTGATATAAAAACATTTTTGTCAGAAACGGCTAGTTAGAAAATCAAAATTTGTCTGGAAAAACAAAAAAACAATCCGAGCTCAAATATCCCGTCACTTTCTTCAAAAATCGGAAAAAGATAAATGCGTATTTGAAAACATGCGTATTTTTCAACACTTCTTTGAATTGACCAAACTTTCTAATCATACAATTCCCATAGATGAAAAACTTCTATAATAAGTTCACTACTAACGTTTTCGAAAAATCAAAAATATAGTACTTTTTGCTTGTTTTTGGTTTTGTACAAAACACTTGAACTGTTACCCAAAGAGAAAAAACTTTTTTTCATCGATGAGTTTTTCACAGACCGCTGCATTTGGAGATTTGCCATGGCATCCAAACTTATAATTTTCAATAAGAATTATACGTTAAGCCGTATATTTTTTCATGGCTGGAAAAACTGCACTTCTAAACATTTAGTCGTTGAAAAACTGGTCCTGTCGTTTTAACAGAGTGAAATATATCTTACACTACAAAAATATATATATTTAAAACTTGAGGTTCACCCAAAAGTTACATTCTCATTTTGAAACAATTTGATTAAATATCAGTCTGGACAAGATCAACAACAAAACTGCTCAGATCAGACGATGCCCTGAATATTCCGACTGCCTTATAAGCTCTATGAAGCAGTGTTTCTTCTATAACAATTGAAAAATAATCAAAAAAACCTAACTTTTTTTTTTAAATTGAGATTTTTAAAAAATCAAACCAAACAAAAAACAAAGTAGTTATGTCAAATAAGTTTTCTTCAACTAATTTGGAACGATATCTAAGATGGAGTAAAATCGGCTATAGCGTTAGTTGCGCAAACTATATCGCGTGTTTATTGTCCAGATTGGCCAAAATGGCAATCTTTGCGCCCCCATAACTTTACGAATAAGTGTCTTAGAAAATCGGAACAAAAAAATGCTCGAAATAAAATTTTTTTAACCGCTAATGGTTGTTTGAGCACGGGAGTAATTTGGCGACTAAGAATAAGAAACAAAAATAATTCAGACATCAGTCTTTTTTAGTTTTTTAAAGACCCGTATAAAACGTTTATCATACAACTTTCATTTACTCCGCAACAGGCCAACATCCGCAAGAGACTTTTTATATCTTCTTTGCTGTTTTGGATTCCACGGACAAACAGCCAAAACACTGTATTGCTCAAAATTGCGCCAAAAACAAGCAATTTTGCGGAATTCGCAACAATATTTGTGGACTCCTCAACAATTTTTGCGGAATCCGGATCAGTTTGTGTAATCCATGAGCAAATAATCATATATGAGCTGGGTAAACATACGCTGTCGTGGAACCCGCAACTTTAAGTGGAATCCGCAAATTGTAAGCGGAATCCGCGAAATGCTAGTGGCATCCGCATAATTTTGGGGAATCTACTTTCATTTGCGGAACCCGCTTACTTTTGCGGAATCCGGAAGAAATACCTATATTCGCTCGTTGCGGAATCCGCAACAAAACTAATTTGCCGGAAAAAAATACGTTACAGGTCAGTGGAATCTACTAATATTTCGGAACATATTTAAAGACTTGTCTCTGGAATTCACGAACATACAGACAAAAAATTGTACATCTATACTGTGCACAGTTTAGCCTCGTACTGAAATTGTATGATACATTTATTGTCTTTTATGGATAAAAAAGTCATGACTAGTACTTTTCGAGTGTACGGAGGTAAACGCGGGTCGCTGAAAATGTGTGACAATCTTTTCAGAGGTTGGCAAAATTGTTTTGGGTAAAATACAATTATCTTATATATGATACACGTTTGTCTGTTAGAATTTTTGAAGATAATGTACGGGAAGGATTGTAAGAAGTAAAATTTTGATAGTAAAATAATTATTCCATAGAGCAGCTGATATTGGTTTCTGCAGTCGTATTGTTATTGTGATCTTTATTGTGAGCCCGTGATATAATTGTGAATCCCGTTGATTGGTTAGGGTTCCCAGTCTTTTTTGGCGTCCCACACATAGCCGAAGTTGGGGCGAGGCTGGGGTGCCGCGTAGGCAGGCGGAGGAGGAGCAGAGGCTGCGACGGGTGCCGGTGCCGCTTCAGTGATCACCGGGACGACCCTGTTACTAAAACACGCGGTAAAATATCGTCAAAAACATGAAAAAGCCAATTTGAACAAAGGCTCCCCATCCTGAAAAGACTCAAAAGACCACTGAACAAATACCCCCTCAATAGACCAAGTAAACAACCTCTTCACTCAATAGACCCAGTGAACAATCTTCCCCATGAGATTAAAAGCCAACTCAAGCAGTAAGGCTTGCATGTAAAATGTTCAAATCTAATTGGCGGAAAGAGATTGCTTTTAACAAAAGGGAGAGATTGTTATTTTTTGTCCCATGAAGACCAGTGAGTTTTTGTTTTCGATGGTTTAATCGAACTTAAGTTCTTGCCATCACCGCATGATTTGAATGATGAAACTCCCATTCTACAACAATTTACAAAAAATTCTTCTGAGTCTATAGGGATCTAGATATGGAACTGATGACTTACTAGTTGAGCTCCAATGCTAAAGAAAAAACAAACACTTTATTTGCATTTTTAAAATATTTCAAAACAGCATGTATGTGTCATATTTACGTATATTCATAAAAAAAGAAAATAACTTTGTATTATTGATCTATTTAAAGTATAACAGTAATAGTAACTCAACTTTAAAATATTTCATTCTAAAATAACTGTTATGGCTGGTAGTTAAAAACGGGCACCAAAAATTTCGGACAAAACCGGCAAAAGTAAGACTTAAAACTTAACCGCTGATAAATTATTTTTAAAAAGGTGTTTTTCGAAACTTCATTTCAAAAAAATATATATTGGATTTGAAATAAATCCCAGAACACTTCTAAAAACAATCGTCTTATCAAATTGAACGCATCAGACTCGTGATCCAGAAACCAAACGATTCCCGAAAGAAAAAGTCCTCTCAGCGTCGAGAAAAATTGGTCTCTCCTTTAAATTACTCCAAATCGTAATTTACAGTTGGTTTCTAAGTTAATTCATTTATATTATCTATTTAATGGAGACCAATTCAAGTCAATACCGGGGTACATAAACAACATAGGATAAAATTTATATCAATAACCATTCAGTATTTACATTTTTTTTTTCGTTTTTTTTTGTCACTGGTGATTCGAAACCTTCTGTGCCATTTGCATACGTCACCCAAGTACTCCTAATTTGTATAAAAAAACTGTTTTGCTGAAACTATAAAATGAGAATATGAGATTACTGGTTAATTAGGGCTATTCTCATGCACAAAAGACCAAAATGCGCTAAGATCTCAACCAATCAAAACCTTGAAAAAATCTAAAACTGATTATCTACCGCTGATTTCTTTCGAATTTTTCATTATTGATCTCTGATTGGCTGACAAAACTTTCGCGCATTTGGTTTTTTGCTCATGAAGGGTTTCTTCCTGGCTGACGATTGGTATCACTTTTTCAAATTTTTCAAAGATCGATTAAAAGGAGATTAAATTTTTTTTGTGTAAAAAGAAAAAATTTTCAAAGCATCTCATAAAAGTATAAAAGAAAAATCAAGACCCACATATTTTCATGCTATCTGTTTTCATCCATCAACAGGAAATCATTGAGCACTTGCTTCTACGGGCACGAGTAACCAACCCCCCCCCCCCCCCCCCCCCCCTGACTGACCTTTTGGTCGGCCTCTGTATGGGAGTATACGCCCTCTCTGGTGTCTGCTTGGGAGTGTACACCCTCCTCTCTGGCGGGTTCTCCAGTGTCTTGGAGTTGTCGGCAGTGTACGCCGCCTCAAACTCGTTCGGCTCTCCCACCACTCCCTCCGGCAAATCCATCCGCTTGAAGTATTTCGAGAGTTTTGTGGCAAAAACCATAAGCGTGATGAGACCCACGGCAGCTACTCCAGAGGCAAAGAAGAGACCACTCTGCAAACAGTTTTAATAAAAATAAAGATAGACGGTTGCTGTGCAAGTAGCCACCAATTATAATCATAATAACCACCACAATAGTCACCATAAAAATTCATTATAATGCTAATCATAATAAGCATAATAATCAGTATCATAATATTTAGGTTTTTGAGAGGTAAACCTTGGACAATACAGGTCAAAATGGCAGTATTTGGGTGTTTTTTTTTACCAAAAATTTTGACCTAAAAATTGCGCATTTACCATATTGGCGCCAAAGGTGCTTTTTAAAAAATTTCAGGATTGGTCGGCCGAAAAAGGATGTCATAAAATAATACCAAAGGGGGACACTTTGGTTGTTCATGGGTTCGAATCCCTGAGGCAATAAGTTCGAATCCCCTCAAACAAAATTCAAAAATGTGGTCGAAGTTTTATGTTGGTTTTCTAAGCTCTCTTAATCACAGTAAAGACCCTATTTTGACCAAATTTTCTGCGTCGCAGGGAAATTTAGAAAAACATAGGCCACGAAATGCGTTTTTAGGCTAGCTCGGAAATTTTGACCAAAAAAAAAAACGTTTTTTCGGCGCCCTTCCCCCTCAAAATTAGTATCTTTTGGCGCCAAATACAAGTTCAAAAAATGTTAGGATCCTTCACCAAAAATGGATATCTGAAAAACGTACAAAGGGGGGACCGAGAAAGAAAGAGCGCCCCCGCCACACATCCCCCCCCCCCCCTAAATCCGCTACTGCTTGATTGAAAGCTGGATTTTTTAGCAAATCATAATTGAGCAATTTATACGCAGCGCTGAGCTATATTATTCTAATTTAAAAATGTGTAAGGGAGATTATAACTTGGTCTAATTATGGGGGGATGTTTAAATTGATCCCATACATGGCGCAATGATTTTTAACTGTGATCCGGGGATTCTTTGCTGTCGGTGCCAACCATGCGAATTCTATCCCCCCCCCCCTCCTCTCATTGTAAGCAGCTTTTGTCTTAGTCTCCACTGGCGAAAATTTAACTTTCTCTTTTCTGATGATTATAATCAATAAGTTTGACGACAATGAAAAATCCTTTGCTTCTATGCATTTTCTTCAAATTGAGCCGACACAACGAACAGCACAGCAAAACTTACCAGTTCAAGCAAGAAATAGTCGCACATGTAGACCAAAAAGGCGTCGTAGATTTTGACGAAGCTCTCGCACTCACCGATGTCATTGGCGAACTGAAACAAATCTCCCAAAAATAAAATCCCAATTACTAAAACCGTTAAGCGACAGTTTGTAACAGGCGAAAATTCGTAAAAGGCAACAATTCGTAATAAGCGACGATTCGTAACAGTAGATTAAGCGGAGAACACTGATTCAAGTGCAATATTCCTCTCGTGCCGGATGTAAGCGCAGCCGAGCAAGCGTATTCTGCTTGCCAATGCCGTGTTACTAATTGTCGTTTGTTACGAATTGTCGTTTGTTACGAATTGTCACCCTGACCACTAAAACTGCATCACAAATAGAGTTAGGCATCAATCAAGGATATTTCCCTTCCTTTTGTTAACGAGGAGAGTTTCCTTAACAGGTACAAAATTCGCATATGCTAAACTGTTAAATTCTTTTTTTTAGAGGGGCAAAAATTCGTTTCGGTACCAATTGGAGCGGGGGGGGGGGGGGGGGAGTAAAAGAGATCCCGCATCAACTTCATCGCCTGAAGCGCATTTATAGCTACGCGAACGCTAACAATTCTTACCGCGTTCAAAATGTAAGCAAAAGTATCGTCAAACCAGCCAAACAACTTCAGAGCGTATTGTTCTGTATTCTAAACACAAATTAAAGACAAACAAAAACATATTCACTCGTGGTAGAGAGAGTTGTAAAAAGTTGGAACAGACAAAAAAATTAAAAAGAGCAAATAATCTAAAATTTTGCATGCAAAAGCTAATTTTGCAGACAAAAGAATATCTCAAGTTCACCTAAAATTTCAAGTTAACAAACATGGAAGAACTGCCTAATTTAGCAAACTGCTCATTTTTATTTTACTTGTCCGTTCCAACTTTTGCCACTTTTGATATCGTGGCTTTTCTGGTGTCTGAATTTGTGTACTCCTTCTTACGTTGAGTATCCAATCGGTTCCATTAGTCTGCAGGGCAGTCTGTGCATTATCAACTGCCACTTCAAGAGCTGCAGTTGTTGTCTAAAAAAAGATATGTTTCGTTGATAATTTTTTTGAAAAAAAGTTAAAATAATCAATCATAGTCGATTGAATCAATTTTGCTAAGAATTTCAGGGCGGATCTAGGTCATTCTCGAGGGGGAAAGGGGGGCGTTGATTTTCGAAAATTTTTGGAAAATTTTGTCGACCTTTATTTTAGATCGACCAAGTTTCTGAGCCTTCCCAACGCAGCTTGTCCTCAGATTTTGGTTGGCCGACCCTAGAACTTTTCCAAAAGTTCCTTGGGCGCCAATATAGACTATTTTTTTAGGGGGAGCGCGCACCTAAAAAACGCCTTTTTTCAAAATTTTCGGAAAAGTGCCCAAAATTTTTTTGACTTATTTTCTAACTTTTTTTTGAGTGCGCCATTTCATACTAATTTTGAGGGGGGAGCGAGCGCCAAAAACACGCTATTTTTTGGTCAAAATTTTCCAAAAAGTGCCTAAAAACGCCGTTTTTGGCCTTTTTTCAAAAATTTGCCTGCGTTGCAGAAAATTTGGTCTGTCAAATTATGGTCTTTATATGGGTCTGGAAGGCCTCAAAAAAATCAACTAGGTCAACTTGAAAAAAAAAGGTCGACAAAATTTTTTTGAAACCTCCCCACCCCTCGAGAAATTTCTAGATCCGCGCCTGCCCGCACTGAATTTTCATGGATAATAATTAATTATATTGCATTTTTGGTCTGTTTTTTCAAAATTTTGTCTGCGGCGCAGAAAGTTTGGTCACATTAAAAGTTTGTTCAAAACAGTTTCTTTTCACTGCTTTCGGGGAGCTCAGAAATTCAATCCCCCCCCCCCCCGAGAAAATCTTAGATCCACCCCTGTATATTTACTACTGCTTTCGTATAATTTTTTGCCGAAATTATATACTGGAGTAATAAATTAAAAAATTCGTTTTTCTTAAAAGCGTCACCTCTGAGCTCTACAGTAAAAAATTAGATGTTGAAATGAAATCAAAGTGTGAGCAACAGACCGCAATGTCCCCAATGGCAGTCTTGCTGGCATCCACAGCAGCCTCGAAGTCCGTCTGAAACAAATAACACCAGCTGATGTAGGGACCCGGGTTGACCTTCCTACTATCTTAATTTTTTCTTTTAAGAAAAAGTCCGCCTGTCTTGAATAATTCTCAGAGCCTATTTTTGTAAGTTTGTAAGAAGTTGTAAGAAACTTACAAGAAAAGTTTCTAAGGCATCGACTTTTGATCAACCCGCAGAAAGCAATTCATGCAGTCGGCACATTGAAAACAGCCAAGGAGGACTTAAAGGTTAGGGGGGGGGGCATCCAAATATCATTATTTTTTGGTGGTTTTTACTAGATTTTGTAGAACCACAATAAAATGTACTTCAGCTGTTCCAAGAGTTTTCTTTTTTGAAATGAAGGCTCTTTTCCAGTTCCCCCCTTTCAAAGTTAATTTTGAAAAGCTAATTTAACGTTGCCATAATGCAATGAAATTTGGCGTAGTGACCAGATTTGTTCTCCATACTTTACAGGGTAACATCGCGCATTTAGCCGTAATAACACGTAAAACAAACATAAAACTCGGTATTTTGAAAGAGGGGAACTGGAAAAGAGCCGAAATGGCTTCCCCGCTCTTTTTTTATAAAAGCCCTTTTTTGAAAAAAAAAGTTTTTTTACGGTTTGAAAAAGACATAAATAACATGCTTATCGGCGATAGAAGTTGCGTACTTATTTGGCGTTATTATTTAAAATGCTTTTCGGTTGTTTTGATCATGCATTTTGAGAAGCTTTAAGCTATTGTAAAGTTAATGCTTCTAAATGGCTTGAAGTAAAGTGTAATTTTTGTAATTAACGCCAATTAAAAAAATCGGCAGTTTTACAATTTCTGATGTTGCTAAAAACGCATGAGCAGGTATCTGAAAAGTAACAAAAACAAGAATGCTCGTATCAGAGCGAAGCCCTGAATGTTCCGACCGCCTTTTAATGTTTATGGAGCAGTAATAACATTTAAGAAATTAAATGAAATAAAACAAAATGAAATTTTTTTTCTAAAATTTGAATTTTTTATTGAAAATCATCCCCCCACACGCCATATAAAGTACAAAAGGATAAATTTCGCTCCTTGTAACAAATCAATTATGGCAAAAAAGCGTCTTTCAACCAATTTGAAACGATTTCTAAGACGGATTAACTCTCCGCTTACGCGTTAATGGCGCGAAATATTTCGCGCGTTAATTGTCCCAAATTGGCCAAAATGGCAATCTTTAAACCCCCGTAACTTTACGAAAAATGATCACAGGTGAAATATCTTTTCAAATTTAAGCTCAGGACAACAATACCTTTCGAATGATATAAAAAAATTCCGTCAAAAATGGCTAGTTAAAAAGTCGAAATTTGTCTGAAGAAAAAAAAAGCCCACCCGAGCACAAATATTCCGTTACTTTCGTATCGAAAGTCGGAACAAAAATTGACATACTTTTTGAAAATTAATTGTTATTTAAGCGAAGAGTTCTTATTTTGGTGGTGATAGAGTGATTCAGCCAAATAAGAACTTTGGTTGTACATTATTCAATGCCTAAGCAAAATGAATAGAATGGCATGCTGATATTCAGACTTATGACGCATTAAACAGCAGAACGACTCGTTAAGTTTTACTGAACTTTTATGACACACGCGTAATCATGAAAAAAAACTTCAACATTTTCAAATGACGAAAACCAAGTGCATGTTCTGAAGCTTATACCGGCTCTTTTTTTCTTTACCCCCACCTGCTTAGTTTACAAATAAAATGTTTGTTAAACATGTCCGATTGTTATGAAAATTGACGTATAAAGACTAGCTCTTTTACGTCAATTTTCATAACAATCAGACAAATAGTGAAAACCTTTTATTTGTAAAACTTAAATGATTAAAAACTGACATACAGATTAACTCTTAAACGCCAATTTTCATAAGAATTGGAAAATTACAATCTAAACAAAAATTTTATTTGCAAAAATTAGGCCATGACAGAAACACATTTGATCTTCATACTTAGCCTTCCAAACCACTCGTTACACCATAAAATTGATTCTAGTGCGTAGTCGAAAGAGGGGGGGGGGGTCTAGCCTCTATGCCATATATTTTGTAATCAACACAAACTAATCAACACTCATAAAAGTTTTTACCTGATCTGTCTTCATTTGGTCTCGTGATGCGATGACAGCTATCAAATCAGTCTCGGCTTGAGTAATTGCAGACGAAGTCTGAAAAAAACAAGATTGAAAAACATAGCTGTGTCATCACCGGCAACCGTCACCAATTTCACAAATAATACGTTTTCCGTGGTAAAAATGCAGCAAAAACCCAGAAAATTTGAGCCTCAATTTAAATCATCTTTTAAAAATAGATTGCCCCCTTCCACGAATTTTGCGTGAAAACATGTTAGATTTGTTTGTTTTTTTTCGGCTAAACTGAACATTGAACTGCGTACAATGATAAGTCATATAAAAATCAGATTGATCAGATTTTGTTTTAAAAAAAAAACATTTCATAAAAAAGTTCTTCGAACTTTTAATAAATAATTTATTCGTCTCTACGATCGAGACTTTCCGAGGGCCAGGTGTTCAAATTTGACAATAGTTTTTGTCTTCCCGGGGTGAGGTGTTCGACTCTTGATTTGGCCGACACGTTCGAACGGCGTGCAATTTTTGTCGCAAATTAAGACGGTCGAACGAACACTATAGTCGAATAAGTCGAACAATGTCATGTAAAGTCGAACAAAGTCGAAAACGGACATCGTTTGACTCAAGAAGTCGAAATCGGACATCAACGGACCTCAGCCCGGGTCTTATGGCAATTTTCTCAAGGGCAAAATATTCATAACAATATAATAATTTTTAACTTCTGTAAGTGAAGTTTCAACGCTAATATTCTTCATGAATCTTGATAAAAAACCTTTAGTTTGCAATCTTTTGTAGTGTAGGATATTGCGAGAATCACGTGAATTGATACGCATCACCTCCGCTGAGAGCTGCTTATAAGAATCTTTAGATGCCTTGCATGCTTGAGATCTGATTGAAAGTAAGTTTTTATCTGGCAATATTTTGAAGGATTCTCGCAAAAGACCTTGCTAGATAACTATTTTCAGATCACGATTGATCAGATCACGATTGATGTACAAGAAGTGATTAACTAATCAAAAACCATGTTTTTGAAATATAAAAAAAAAACATTTTTTAGACAATTAAATCCAGTTCAGTGCCTCATTGTGTTACCTAAAATCGATTTTTCACAAGTAGAGCTTACCCCATGAACCCCAAATTTGGTATTAAAACTGGTACAACTATATTAAAACTGTATTGAAACTGGTACAACCGATTGCATCATTAGTTTCGCCAAAATGCGCGCGAGTTTTATACTCACCGGTACTACTGCCTGTAGACTGGTTAAAATGGTATCGAGTGAGTCACAAGCGGTGGCTGAGTCTTCACAGGGGGTGCCAGTCACCCCAGTGGGTGTAGCTGCTTGGTTTGTATTCAGCTGAGTGTAGTAAACACCCACCTGGAGAAAACTGCATATATTTAAAAGAATAATTTAGGTTATTTAATTTGCAATTTGTTTTTGATATAAAAAATGGTTTTTTTTTCTAATACAACTCCGTTTTTAGATGTAAAACTGTGTTTTTTAAATTCAACCCTTGTTTTGTGATATGAGACTTTTTAAAAAAAATCCAACGCCCTGTTCTGTGATGTGAGACTTTAAAAAAAATCAACCTCTTGTTTTGTGATGTAAAACTGAAAAGATCATCGGTTGACCTCTCGGGACACTGTTGTTTGAATGGTGTCCTTTGTCGACACTAGTCACGTTGGTCGAATATGTTCGATTTTGTCGGCTAGGGTTGACTTTGATAGAGCTTACCCTGATACATTTGCATTATTTTGAATTGAAGCTTTTCATTGTCAATGATAGAGCCTCTTTAATCATTTCAGTTGAAAATATGAGTTTCAAATTTACTGCAATTGATAAAAAATTTGCTAAAAAATGCAAAAAAAGGAGAAAAAAATTTGCACAAAAAGTATTTTTTAGCGCCACGTCGTCAAATAACCGGAATGTTTAAATAATATTACCAGAAAAGTTTTGCAACTAATCTATTTCAACGTTTTTTTTGCAATCAAAGTTAAATCAACGTAATAAGGCAGCTGTTCATTTTGCCGAATTTGGCGTTTTCTATTTCATTGGGTCGTTTTTGATCATTGTATCATAGCTACAATAAATTATTTTGGCTAAAGCAGGAAGTTAGCAAAAAATTGAACCACATGCTTGTTCGAGCACCATCAAAACGAACATAAAGCGGGACAATTGCCGTCGAATTGTGCACAATTTTTGTTGTATTTGGTTCTGTGATATTGTATGCGGTATCTCGTTGGAAAACTAGTTGATAGTTCAAGAAAGTATTCTTTGTAGCTTGAATTAATTGTTTTCTCTGTCTGTTTTATAGCCATTGAGAGTGATACAGCAGTTCATACTCTGAGCTCTCAGCTGTGTACCAATGTCTCTGATCTAGTGAACTTGGACACATCTTAATAATAATAATTAATACCACTGAAGGTTATTTTTACATCATGCAAGTACTGACATTGCAGTAGCAGTATGACATACCCGCCGAGTGGAATTAAATTTTTCTATATATGAAATAATTTACACTAGGAAGAGTTTTATCCACTCAGTTCAATAAGAGTTTTCGAAAATTTTTAATTGCAGAATTTCAATTTCTTCAATTTTCCTCCAGGTCAATTCTCCAGCAAGGGTTCCAATCCACTCCTTTGTCCAGCGTTGCATAGCCGAATTTTCTCTTGAATAAATGTCTTTCTAGGAGGCGTAATTTTGACTCCGTAGGCCTGTCGCTTCCTTCTTGGAAGTCCGTTAATCGTGGTCGATGCTCCTGGAGTGCGGCTTTTAGGAGTGCTCCCCCTGTTAAATCTTCTGATACTTCCTTGATGGAATGTTTGACCGGGTCCCCAAACCGTTTTGGCTCCTTGCTCTTGTTCTGTCTTGAGCTTCTTCGGACCCCTGATTCTTCGACGCTAGATTCGTCTGAAGCCCCCTGAGGAGGTTTGAATCTCGTATCCCGTTCGGATGTTGGCTGGTCGTGTCCCCTGAGGTCGTCTGCGACTTTTTGAGCCCCCCTCTTAAGAAATTGGTCCGCCAAACTCTCCCACTCTGCTGGTGCTAGGTTTCGGTTTTGAAATGTGTCTAGAATGTCTTCAGGTCGTGTTTCTGAGTCTATCCTCTTCAACTTGACCTTTTTTTTGGAGTGGAGCTCGATTGGACGTCTCTGTTTGAGGTGTCTATAGTGGAGGTTGATTGTTTGTGTCTGTTCTGATCGCCTGCAGTAGCAGTATGTTTGGGCGATGTTTCTGGTTTGTCGCCTGGTTTCTTGCTTTTCGTCTTTTTCTCCGATTACTTTAATGCAACCAGTTCCTGAGTTTTAGGTCCAGGTATCGAACTAGGGCCCGCTGTGTTTGGTTTCGCTCGTTTGATGGCAACGTTTAGGCCCCCTCCTGATTCCGTGTCTTCGAGGTCACATTCCTCTTTCGATCTTTCGGAGTCTTCCGTGACTTCGCTCACTTGCTGAGATCTGCGCTTTTTTGCAAAGTGGTTGGGTTTTCCGCAATTTTTACAAGTTTTGCACAGTGCCGAACAGCTTTTTAGATGACCCTGGTCAAATGCTTTTTCCGCATCTATTACATGTTTTTGTTTTTCCATTGGAGTGGTTTGTTATGTTATTGTTTTGTCGTTTATTGGCTTCCCTCTTATATTGTTGATTTTTTGTGCTTCCCGTTGAGTTCCTGGCAGCCATCACTGGTTCTTGTTTTATTTTCACCCCAGAGTTGTAATTATTGCCCGCTCCTACTGTTGCTGCTGCATTTGTCTTCTGGAATGCCATTGTAGTCAATTTACTATGTTCGAGTTTTATAGCTCTCTTCAACACTTCCTCTGGATCTAGCGTTTCAAATCTGTGTGTATCCTGCAAGGTCATATTTTTCATTTTTGAAATGAAAAGATCACGAGCTATCTCACTTTCAAGTCTACCAAGTCCTGATCTGGCTGCTTGCGCAGTTAACGCTGCGAGGAATTCCTCCAGCGATTCCCCTACTTCTTGAATTCGTGTGAACAATTTGTATCTTTCATAAGTCACGCATTAAGCCTTTTGAAATGAAATTGATGCTATTTCTGTAATGTCCTTGATTGACATTTTGGAAATTTCAGCTGGTGGGTTTTTCTGCAAAAATCTTTTCTTTCCTTCAGTTCCCAGAGAGAGAAATAATCTTGATACAAGCTTCTTCTGTACCTCATTATAATAAACATTGTGACCAGCCCTTGGGCCGCGTGTTCCTCTCCTCATTTCCAGCATAATTCGATCTCTTGCTTGTTTATCTCTGAGGTTTCTGGCTGTCATCGCAGCTTCATCCTCTCCATCTCGTGGCGTTTCTGGTCGTGGAGGTGGTTCTTCTAAAATATCTTTTGGATCCTCCAACATAACTTCCGGGTTTACATTTTCTTCTACGGTTAGCGCCATTAGAAATTGCTCGAACCAGATTTTAAATTGCCTCGGTGGGTCTAGATTTGCTGAAGCCCAAAATACTGGTATTCCCATATCAGTAGGATTGTCCTGAGCTGCGAATCCTGCTGGCTGCGCAATGTGATATCCAATACGGTATCTCGTTGGAAAACTAGTTGATAATTCAAGAATGTATTCTTTGTAGCTTGAATTAATTGTTTTCTCTGTCTGTTTTATAGCCACTGAGAGTGATACAGCAGTTCATACTCTGAACTATCAGCGGTTTACCAATGTCTAGTGACCTTGGACTTGGACACATCTTAATACTAATAATTAATACCACTGAATATTATTATTACATCCAGCAATTACTGCAATTGCAGTAGTTGTATGACAGGTTCAAAACTTCTCGCGAGCTTGGTTAATTGCCTACTTGTTGTGATAACTTTCGTAAATCATTTCAGAGAAGAACGATGAATGACCAAACTAGTATTCAGGATACTTCAAACCTTCCCGAAGTGTGCATCTCCAAGACCCAACGCTCGTTTGGAATATCGAGAAAAAAGATAAGATAGATGAAAGCCCCCCTAACTGCTATCCTGGTAGGCGAAGAAACCGCGACGAGTTCGAATGAAGCAGTAAACGATGGCCTTATCGGAGTTATTGACTGGATAAAATCCAATCTAAAGGAATCTATTATGTACCCACTAAGGATTGTCACTAATGTTAATCGAATATGATTGATTTTCAATGTCAGAACCTTATAAAATTCAAAAAAAGTCGATTATAAGTGATTAAAATTGGATTGTGAGTATAATTGTATAACAAAACCAACATAAAATTGTAAAAATGTGAAGAAACAAAAGGAAATGAAAAAAACAGAAGAAACAATAACTTGACCTTAGAGTTCTTTAATTTCCAATACTTAATGATTGACAACTTATGATTTAAACCAATATAAGAAAACTGGATCAATGGACAATTTTTTAATCCGCGTGAAAATCTTCCAAAAATCAAAGCATCGGTCGCGTTTTTTGAGACTTAAGTTTCTGTTGCTCAAAAGTTGAGTTTTGTTTTTTTAAACAAAAAAATGAGATAAACTTTAAAAATAAAAATCCAAAGACAAACTGCAAAAAACCAAATCTGAGCATGCTTGCATAGCAAGATTTATTCGGGAAAATACAAAATAGATAAATTCAACTCGATCTGTATTAATGCCTTCGCAACTTTCATCGACTCCTAATTAAAATACCAAACTAAACTGTTTGATTACTATAGCTTAATAGTTATAAAATTTAAACAGATGTTATCTGCCAAAAACTATATGTTTACGAAAACTTAGTCGAAAAAAATCAGACAATTAATGCCAAGTATGTCGCGAGTTTTTGGCCAGATCGTCGCCACTCATGTTCGGACTGTAAGCTTTAGAACTATCAGACCAAAATTTATTTTTTTTAGACTTTGTCCGAGATTATACAGGTCTGCCCAGCCTAAAACTTTTCGGTTGCGGAAATAATATCGGAGGGTTTTGGGTTTTGAAACTCTGAAAGTAAAAGGCGGACTTTGACCTTGGAATCTTTTTGAAACGAAAAGTGTAGAGAATTTGGGCGAAGTCGAGTGGTACCGGGAAAACACGGCAAAATGGAAAAGGGATGCAAACCGACCAACAAGGTGGATACCAACGCACATAAATTTCCATTTAGGTCAAAGTATGAGTCTAGCACGTCAGCCGGACTCCTAAAAAACTTGAAAAAAACTTGAAAACTGGAATTTCATGTGGCCAAGTTGTTCGTCCTATTAGATAGAGCAAGAGGACCAGCTATGATAAAAATCTAATGCCAATTGTAATCCCAATTCACTGTTCTTTATCTTTAATCAAAATTAAATTTAACTTTAATTTTTCCAATTGACTTGAATGAATTCAACCAGTTTTTTCTGGACATTGGAGGAAAAAATGGCTTATATGAAAAACAATCAGAACATTATTTGATTTAGAGATAAAATGAACAACTCCTCTTTTTTTCTTCTTTTTTCATGATGAAGTAATGAAAATTACTGAAACTCTTAAAAAATTGTATGGTTGTCATGATGGCTTTTGTAATACTATGATTAATTTATGTGCTGATGTAGTTAGCTATCCAATAGGTGATTTGTTCAACCAAATGTTAATCCATGAAAAGTTTCCAGATGTGTCTAAATTAGCCGAAGTTCTACCGTTTCATAAAAAGAGTTCTTACTAGGACCCATCCAATTTTAGACCAATAAGCCTGCTTTCATCAAAAAACAAAGTTATCAAAACAAAGTTATGTTTTTCAATCGTTTATTGAAGTTTATTGGTAAGCTCAACATCATTGCAGCGGAACAATTTAACTTCAGAAAAATCAGTTCAAATATCCACGCTGTCATGACAGCAAAAAAAGTACGCAGATTCGAAAAACATAAGAATAGCTTGTTTTATGGGTTTCCAAAAACGCGTTTGATACTATCGAGCATACTATTCTTATGGAAAAGTTTGAAAGCTATGGCTTTTGTGGCATACGCTACAACCTAAAATAGTCGTATTCAACTGATAATTGTCAATACATATCTTCAAATAAAAATAATTCGAACATGCAACAGATAAAACACGGTGTTCCAAAGAACTCGGTACCTGGGCCGCTGATGTTTCTACTGATAACATGTTGATATTTTTTGCAAAAAGACTAGCTCGATTTAATGGTTTAATAGATCAAGCAAAGAAGGTTTTTTTCTCGAAAGTTTTGTCCGGAAATTTATAATGTTTATGCCACGGCCAATACTTTGTATGGCTTATTAGCATGTGGCTGTTCAACAAAAAAAGTTCTACAAAAACTATTAGTTTGACAAAAACGGATATTAAGAATTTTATTTCTTAAAAGAAAGTACAAAACCGTGATGCCAATTTTTCATGAATACGAAATTGAAACAATCTTCGATATATTTCTTGATCAATTACTTAAAGAAACTATTGATCACCTTAAAAATCTCCACTCAGTTTTCTGAACAAAGAACAATTTTCAAAAAAGAGATGCACAAGAGCTTGCTAATCAAAAATTCTCAATTTGCTGCTAGCAAGAACAAATGGGCTGCACAGGTGCTTCAGCCAGAAGAAAAAAATGTTCAAAACTTTTTCACTTTTTACCCTCAAACAAACTGCTACCTGACAATTTAAAACAATTAAAGACAAGCGAAATTAATAAATACAGATATATAATTATAAACTGTTTTCTGATAGATAATTCCGATTTACATGAAATCAAATTTTCATAATTGTTAGCAGGGGCGGATTTAGGGGGGTCGGACGTCTCCCCCCTCAGGGATTCGACCCCCTGCCGACCCAAAGTGTCCCCCCTTTGGTACTTTTAAGAAATCCGTTTTTTGCCGACCGACTCCAAAGTTTTTCTAAAGGCGCCTTGGGCGCCAATATATTATAACTTTGAGGGGGAGCGCGCACCAAAAAAACTCGATTTTTTTTGTCAAAATTTTTTAAAAAGTGCCTAAAAACGGCTTTTTTGACCTGTTTTTTCAAAAATTTGCCTGCGGCGCAGAAAATTTGGTCAAAACAGGGTTTTTTTAGTGCTTTGTTTGACCTATTTTGTCGAGCTTTGGTCGAGCTAGCAATTTGGTCGACCTAAAAAAAAAGGTCGTCAAAATTTTCGAAAATTTTTTGAAAATCCGCCCCCCCCCCTCGAAAAAATCCTAGATCCGCCCCTGATTGTTAGTATCTTGATCCTCGTGTTTTTGGTTTTCCGGAGTCTCGCCTCGTTGAGCCTCAGGGCTCGTCCGCAATCCTTGTGAATTAAAAATTGTATACGTATATTTTTCACTAAATAGTTCAATTCAGTAAAATTTCTGTACATACGGTGCTCTGGACGAAAGTCTTGAAACTGTCTAGTGCTGTCTTGTAGGAAGCTTCGTTGGCCTGGATATCATCTATGTCACTCTGAAAGTCCCCGTCAATGAATTCGAATTCAGAGAAGTTGAAGTTAGAAGAGTCGTTGAATTGTGACATCGCATCATCGATCAACTACATACAATGACGATTTTTTCGTTAAACTTGCTATTTTGATTTTTCCAATTAATTAAGTGAATTTTTTCGACTCTTCAAGACAATAATTTATTTCCTGCCCTTTGAACGTCTTATAAATCATTTTAACCTGTTATAGACCAAAGTACGGGCATTGCAAGCGATACAACTGGAGAAAACAAACTTGATTCATCGGCTCTTCCCCCCCCCCCACCTGCAAACTTTTATATTTCAAGTTACTGTTCACTTTGTCCGATTGTCATGAAAATTGGCTTGTAGACTGATTAGGCCATGACAAACATATTTGGTCTTATATAATTAACCTTGTAAGACCGCTCGTTAGACCATAAAATTCATGTTTGAGTGAGGTGGGGGGGGGGGGGGGGAATAGGAAAAAGAGCCGATTCATCCTCAGCTTTTTCCACGGATTGTTTTTCTAGTTTTTTCTTTAATATTTTAATCAGGAAATTTTGAAATGGCTGGATGGGAAGGGAACTGGCGTTGCAATTGAAAACGGAACCATTAAAAAGATTGAACCAGCCAGCAGAAGACTAAGCCAGCCAAAAATCGAAGGAATTTGAATGGAGAGTATAAACCATATAAACCAGCTGAAAAATGACGTCATTAGAATAGAATTTGCAAGACTTTCGTAACTGTTACATAATAATTGCATAATTATCGGAAGCACTGCGTAAGTTGTACCTTGGATGAGTTGAGAAACGAGTTGTAGTCATAGAGGGTGGACTCGTTCACGTGGAATGCAGTCCAGGCTGTCTTTCCACTCTTGCAGTCACTTCAAAGCAACAACAAACGTTTAAATGAGGTCCCCAGCGGATTTAGGTAGGGGGGATGAGTGGACGCCTTTCTCTCAGGAATTCGACCCTCAGCCGACCCAAAGGGTCCCCCTTCGTACTAATTTGAGGTATCCATTTTTGCCTGACGGACCATAAAATTTTTCTAAAGGCGCCTTTGGCACCAATATTTACTAATTTTGAGGGCAAAACGCGCGCATAACATGCAATTTTTGGTGTTTTTTTTTCAAAAAATGCCTAAAAACGCGTTTTTTGTACTGTTTTTTTTTTAAATTTTTTTGGAAGACCAGCCCCCCCCCCCTCATTACGAGGCCAAACTGTGCATTTTGAACTACATTACGAGGCCGAAAGTGAATTCCGCAACAAGGACGCTGCCTTTGTTCTTCTTTTGACCGTTCCGACAAGATTCTTTCATTTCCTTTGATTTCCTTTGACCGTTCCGACAAGATTTTAAAATTAAAGACTTGTCTCTGGAATCCAGGAACAAACAGACACAAAATTGTGCGCCTATCCAGTGCACAGTTTGGCCTCGTAATGTTCTCGAGAAAATCTTAGATCCTCCCCTGAAAGAGGCCATAGCTCTTATCAGTTAGGTTAAAGAAATACTTGTTGCATATTCAAATTGAGACTTAATTGAATCTTTCAAGAAAATTGATTTAGTTTATAATTTTTTTTTGAAAATCATCATCCTACTGGCTACGTTAAGTGCAAAAACTATATTTTGTATATAGCAACCTACTGAATAGTCCATTTAGCATGCTTCAACCAAATTTGGAACGATTTTTAAGAGGGGTTAAAAATCCACTAGCGCAAAAATTTGCGCGTTACCTGACACGAATCGGCCAAATTAGCAATCTTATCAGCCCTCACTATTTTTCAAAAAAGACCACAGATCGAATGGTTTTTTAAATTTGAGATCAAGACAATAATATTTTTAGAGCGTTTTCTAAAAACAATCCATCAGAATCATTCGAAAAAAGTTTTGGCTAGCATTTTATGGGGACAAAAAAAATCGTGAAAATGTTAGAACAACGAGGCTTGTAGATTAGGGCAAAGCCAAGCTTGTTTTGACTGTCCTGTAAGAACAACTTAAGTTTTTGAGTGAAAAATTGACAAAATATTTTCATATTGACATATTCTCGTATTCTAATATTACGACCAAAGATCTTGCTTCAATTCAATTTGGAAAACATCAAGCAGCAGCTTAGGCGTGTTATAAGAACACAAGTACTCGCACGTTAAACATCCCAAATTGATCAAATAAGCTCTTTTCAATCTACCATTAATTTTAAAAAAAATGATCATTGTTGAGTTTTTTTTTCGAACTCCACCCGTAGCAAAAAAAAACTTCCAAATCTGACAAGAAATGCTCATTTTTCAATCTGAAAATCTGAAAGTTTTTTTGAAATGTTTAAATGAAGCAGAGTTTTCTAAAACTTCTTTATTTCTCATTTTATTTCTAATCAAAAATCAACTAAACCTAGGTTATTTTTAGCAGAACAATTCTCGCGATGAGGCTGGAAACTCCGACTTAATTTTGGCTAGATGGTCGGGCTAACCCTTTGGCCATGTCATACTGCTAGTGCAATAGCAGTAATTGAGTTATGTTATGTACTACGAACCTGAGGTGCTATAGTTATTAATTTCATGTGTACCCAAGGTCACAGTATGTTGTGACATTGAAACTTAGTTGAGAGTTCAGAGTTTTCAATTTTGATCTATCTCTCAGTAACTAATCAAAAGACACAAAGAAAAGAAAAGAGAAAACAAAGTTCAATATATCAGAATACATTATTGAATTACAATTAGTTTTCACTCGATACCGCATCGGATATCACATGGCGCAGCCAGCAGGATTCGCAGCTCAAGACAATCGAACGGATATGGGAATACCCGTATTTTGGGAATACCTGTGAAGATGCGAGGAATGCGAGGATTCTTAGAGACAAGTTAGCAAGAGATAGAGTTTTGTTGGAGAATGAAGAGAAAATGACAAGAGGTCCACGAGTCGGACACAATGTTTTCTATAACGAAGTACAAAAGAAACTGGTGTCCAGATTATTTTTGTCTCTGGGTACAGAGGGAAAGAAACGATATCGAAAATGTCGTTCAGGGAAATCACAGAACTTGCAGAAGTTTCGTTCCAAAAGGTAAAATGTGTAACATAATAAAGATATAAACTGTTTACACGAATGCAAGAATCCGGGGAATCTCTGGAGGCATTTCACACAGCGCTAACTGCGCAAGCAGCTCGATCTGAACTGGGAACACTGGAAAATGAGATAGTCCGTGATTTATTCATTTCGAAAATGAAAAATATAACGTTGCAGGACACGTTGACATTCGAAACTCTAGATCCGGAAGAGGTTCTGAAAAGGGAGTTAAAATTCGAACACAGCAAGTTAACCACAATGCTGCGGCTACACAATGCTTTTCGTCTTGGCTACTGAAAAGACGAATGCTGCGGCTACAGGAGGAACAAGTAACAATTACACTTCGGGAGTGAGGATAAAACAAGAACCTGTAATGGCAGTTAGAATTTTGTCAGGGACGACAAAGAATCAAAACAGAAGGGAAACAAATGAAAGGCAAAACAATAAAAAAAACCACAACATGAAAACGAAACCATGTAACAGACGTGGAAGGAAGTTTGATCAGGGACATTTGAAAAGTTTTGTTCGGAACTTAACATCGAGCAGAAATTCTGTCCGGTGGGGGATCATCGAGGCTGTGGTTTGGTAGAACGAACAATACAAACCATAAAGAGAAGATTCGGGGTATTGTTGCTCGAAGAAAATAATAAATCGATCAATTTATGTCTCAGTATCATAATGCGAGATCTACGGTGGAACAAGCAGAAAACTATACAAGTATCCCCATTTCAAGCACATTTTGGCAGACTACCAAAAACAGAATTTAAAATTGTAAGGGATAGGTTTCTAAACGATTCTGACTATTTAGACAAACAACATTTGGAACGATCAGCATTGACAGCATCACAACTGAAACGCAGAATCGATCAATCAAGAGAGAACCTCAAAATCGTACGCAAAGGACAACTCAGCAGGGACACAAGCCCGCTGCATAAGCAACAAGTAAAATCATACAGGGATCGACAAAGGGCTAAAGCCCTAAAAGAACTGCTGGAGGCGAATGCCCGCTGGAATCACGAGAGAAGAGATGCCGCAAAAAATGATGTCAGGCGGATTGTGGACAAGACCGGATTATTAAATCGTGATCTACGGAAGGAGATGATATACTCCTGGGAGAAGGGATTCATCGAGGACAAAGAACCAGAACAAAGAAAATCTCCGCCGAAGACAATCTTAAGAAAGGATCCGTTACGGAAAAGTGGACAGGCACTGACGAAGCAACTGAAGGGTAAAATAGCAACCGAAAAAGACTCAACTATTAAGACGGCAACAAGCTCTGTTTACCGGAAATCGGACATTGCTCAAACGAGGACGACTCTGTCACACGAAAAACATACGAGCCCATCGGCGGAGCCTACGAAGAAATTTCAAAGGATTAGTTCCCCTGAAGCACTCGAGGATATCGGGTCAGACGAAGAGCTACAACGAGATATGGAAATAGCTGATGCGGTGAACCCCATAGACCGATACCAACAGAGCCAAACAGTCGTAATTTCCAAAGACACGAACGCAGGTGGGGGCCTCAACTTAGCTATTAAGAGAGCGAAACCGAATTTGGCTGGTCCAAGTTCACCGGCAGACGAGAGTGACAAGAACAGGACAGACAAGAAAGTCAAGGAAAAGAGAACTCAAAGTAAACAAAACAACCTTACAGGTCAAACTGCGATAGCAACTGATCAGGGGCAGGAACAATCAACATCAAAGTTGGGGACGCTGGGTCACAACACTCAGACAAGTTCTACGCCAAAAACAAAACAGCGGACCAAATTGAAATGTATTGATTCTCAAACATCTCCGGAGGACATATTCGATACATTTCAAAATCGAAATTTGGCACCAGCTGAATGGGAGAAATTCGCAGACCAATTGCTAAAACGTGGGGTTCGAAGAGTCGCGGACGATATCAGAGGAATTCCACAACCAATTTCGGAAAGAGATGCAGCATTTGAACAGCCGCAAGGATTCTCCGACGAGTCAAGTGCGGAGGAGTCGAGTGTCAGGCGAAGCTCCAGACAAACAAACGTTTTGGTAATCCAATAAAACACTCCATTAAAGAGATTTCAGAGAATTTGACAGGGGGCACTACTCAAGACGGCACTTCAAGAATACCGTAGAAGACTAAGGGATTTCAAGGAACGAAAAGATAGGCCTGTATAATCGAAAATGAAAATGTTAGAACGACACTTATTCAGGCGGAAATTTGGTTATGCGACGCTGGATGAAGGAGTGGACTGGAATCCGAGCTGGAAAATAGAGCTGGAAGAAAACTGAAATGGAAGATCATGAACTAATCTTTCAAGTAACCCAAAAATTTTCTTGTGAACTGAGTGTATTAAACTCTTTTTAATATAAATTATTCCATATATGTTGAATAAATTATTTTTACCGAGGGGGTGTGTCATACTGCTACTGCAATAGCAGTAATTGAGTTATGTTATGTACTACCAACCTGCGGTGCTATAGTTAATAATTTCATGTGTACTCAAGGTCACAGTGTGTTGTGACATTGAAACTTAGTTGAGAGTTCAGAGTTTTCAATTTTGATCTATCTCTCAGTAACTAATCAAAAGACACAAAGAAAAGGGAAGAGAAAACAAAGTTCAATATATCAGAATGCATTATTGAATTACAATTAGTTTTCACTCGATACCGCATCGGATATCACAGGCCACATACAATCAAATAGATAAACAGATTTAGTTTTAGTAAGTTTGTTTTGCTACGGCTTTTGTGTTTACTCGAATCATGTTTATCCCATTGCGTTTGAGCAGTGAACTGATTCCTGGTTACGCTTCTCAGAAACTGTATAAACATTTTTTTTACATGAGAAATAAATTGTTTCTCTATACAAAATTAGGTGAGATTATCTATATAAATTTCCATCCAGATAAGAACCGTTTGTTGGGTACGGGTAAAACAAAATATTTTTTAGAAATTACAGAAATTTCCATCAAAAAATGTTGGTAGAAAATTGAAAGTTGAATATAAAATCACCCAAAAAATAAAAAAACCGTGCTTATTTGAAAGTCGGAACAAAAACGAATCAACTCAAACAATCACCCTGGCTGAGTTTTTTTACTAGTTCTTTTGAACTTTTGAATACTGAGCTCAAATTGGTTGGCAAATTTTTTGCGCAATCTGTCTTTTAGATGATGGATTCGCGCGATGGGTTTATTGTTCCGACTTTTGAAGAAAGAAAGTGTCGGATTATTTGTACTCGGTGCGATGTTTTTTCTCCTGACAAATTTCGACTATTTGACTGGCAATTTTGGACAAAATTTCTTTCATCGGAAAAATATTGTTGTTTTAAGCTCGTTCGTAAAAAAAACGTTCTCCAATTTTTTTGTAACGATTTGGGGTTTTAAGGATTGCCATTTTTCGGGAAAAAAGCGCGCGATATATTTCTTGTTAATAACGCTTAAGCGGAGAATTAATCCGTGTTAGAAATTGTTCCAAACTGAATTGATGCTTGCTTTTTGTTCTATTTAATACTATGCTATATGCTAAATATATCACTTTATTTTTCGCAAAGCAAGTAGGGGGATAGTATACCGAAGAAAAATCTTTTTTTTTGAATTTTTATTTCGATTTTTTGAATAATTTATCACTTTTTTGAAAGCGAGCACTTTTCCATATGGTTAAAAAAGGTTTTCCCTGATACGAGAAGTGTTCTTTTTTCAGTTTTAGTTTACAGATCAGTTTTTCACAATCAAATTATTAAGAGCTGACTTCTAACTAATAAGAGCTGACCTCTAACTAATAAGAGCTGACCTCTGACTAGTAAGAGCTGACCTCTAACTAATGAGAACTGAACATCTTAAGGTAGTCGGTTGAAACTATGATCATCTCACCTCATAACTGTTGCGATAGACAATTCGATTGAACTGTTCCCCAGAATCAATTTAGCAAGGTAGTACTCATTCTCCCCATCCAGAAAGTAAGGCCTGTCTATTATCTGAAGTGAAAATTAGTTTAATTAAGATATGGGAGATCCGGATTGATCAAATATCTTACAAAATATTCCCCTATTTTAGATTTTCGGATATATTTAACTATAGCTCCTCTTGGGTACCTAGAAACAAATATCCCCCTATAAAGAAATAAATCAACGGTTAAGCATATGAGAATTTTATGCCTATAGCAACGAAAATCTATTTTGCAAAAAAGCAGGATATAGTTAAAGAGATCCAGGTTTTTTATACGAATTATAGGGTTTTTTACATATCTTACAGCTTTCTCATACGAAAAAATTACAATCTTGTAAAATCTTCGAACGAGATAAAATCTAAGATAGCGAATGTGGTCTGTTTCTGGTATTTTTTAACGATAACTACTGCTGGTACTTTGTCATCATGATAAAAAAAGTGCTGAGAATGATTTTTAATTAGCTGCTAAAATTTGTTTTTGCTAGAGGACTTCTTCCACATAAGAAATACTTTGTGAAATTGTTCTGTTTTATGTTTAATAATGGATTTACGAAAGTAACAGTATATTTGTGCTCGGGGTCGGTTTTTTTTCTTCTGACAAAATTCGACTTTTTAACTAGCCATTTTTGACAAATTTTTAAAATATCATTCAAAAAAGAATTGTTGTTTAGAGCTTAAAATGAAAAGATATTTCACCTGTAACCTTTTTTTGTAGAGTTATGGGGGTTTAAAGATAGCCATTCTGGCCAAACTGGAACAAGTATCGCGCGATACATTTCGACCTATTAATGCGTGTGCGAAGATTTAATCCATCTTAGAAATCAACCCAAATTGGTTGAAAGAAGCTCATTTGCCATTTGCTCATTTGCCATTACTAGGAGCGAAATCTATCACTTTGTACTTCATTTGGCCTGTGGTGGGATGATTTTTTCAAAAAATCTCAAATTTAATTGTTTTTTTCTTCATTTTATTACTTCTAATTTTTTCGTGTTACTAATGTTCCATAGACCTAAAAGGGCAGTAGAAAAATTCAGGGCTTTGCCTTGATACGAGCAGTCTTTAATGTTAGGTGATAGTAATAACACATGCGCAGATTTTTTTTTTAAGCATTTCCTGGTAAATTTATTCATGAATTTATATGGCGGCCCAGTTTAAATGGATCGCCTTCAATGGAAAAACTGCTGTTTGCCACGCTTGCTGATGACAAAGTTCAAGGGTGTATTAGAATCAACAAAAATAAGAATCATAAAATAAAAAGCAAGAAGTGAAAGAAGCAAAATTGGCGAAACAAAATATTCTTAAGAGCTACTTATTTCCACATGCTCTTATTTTAGTGTTAATTATCTCATTCAATTCAAAACAAACTGGAGCTGAACAAAAATTTTATCCCCTCGTGAGTCTTCATTCTCTCAGATGCAATGTCAAATTTCTTCCTTATTTAAATTGAAAGATTTTATTATTACCCGCATCCGAGTTTAGGCGTAAATAATCGATTATAACGGATTTTTATGATGATTTTTTGACAATTATATTTGATTATAATTACCAAAATTAGATGTTTAAAAGATTTATATCTGATTATAATCGTGATATATTCCAAGAGATTATAATCTCTTTTATTCGTTTATAATTGATTATAGTTCTTAGAAAAAACCCTTAGAATCAATTATAATCGATTATAATCTCTTATTTCACCAATTTGTTTCAGATCAAAACTATATTCGAATTATATCTTATGATTTATTGTTTTTGTGTCAATAAGAAAATCGTTAAAAGAGAGACCTCTTGAACACTTTGGTTCATCTGAACACAAAGTTTTACCTCGAAACAAAAATTTCATTGAGATTCTTCATATTAGTGGAAAGATTCCCGCGGTAGATGAAAAATAAATCTTCAGAATCAATCATGAAACTAAATCAGTTTGATAATGTTTTGGTGGTTAAAAAGTTAAAAATATGCATCACAAAAGAACTTAAATGGAGAAGAAATGAAAAAAGAACCTTGTAAATTTTAATTGATTGGAAAAATTTAGAATTTTCTCATTTTTCATAGAAACCAAAGTTTACAAAAAGCATAAAATATAAGCAATTTAGATGCAATTTCTAAAATAAAATGGACAAACAAAAAAAGACTATAATCACTTATAATCAATTATAATGTATTTTTGTGCAAAACTATTGAATTAGAAGTTTGAATAAAAATAATGGATTATAATCAATTGTAATTGATTATAACTGTATCGAAAAATGGACGAATAAATTATCCATTATAATCGATTATAATGGATTATAATTAATTATAACTTGATCTTAAAAAGAGAGATTATAATCGATTCTTAATTGATTAAAATCGTATGTTTCTCAACTTAGTAAGACTGGTACTAAAATCGTAATATAATCAATTATTAACGCTTGAAACTGGGTGAGGGTAATTCAGATTGCTTCTAATTGCCGTCTGCCATTCTCACTCTTTGTGAATTGTCGTTTTTTATAAACGCTACGGGTCGTCACTTGCTTTTTTCTCGTTTTTAACCTTTTAATGCTACTGTCTTTTTTTTGTGCAAAACTGTTCTTTGGAGAGTAAAAAATTGACTGCAAAAAGTTTTAGTCGGTCGAGTTAATTAAACAAACTTGAGGCAAAATTCAAGCTCGCCCGTCAAGGTGGTAATTTTAAACTGATTCTAAGCAAAAGTTTTTATCAGTAACAAACGGATTTGATTAATTATTTGAATAAGTGGGTTTTACGCAAAGAGTTTTGAGTTGGGGAGGGATAATTAACTAGATGGAAGTGTTGGACGAATAGGACACAATTCATGTATACTTACATTTTCGATGATCTCGTTGGACTGGAGACCCTGGCAGATCATGAGGGGGGTTGAGAAAATGAGAAGGGGGAATATGAAGCCAATCATGTAGAACCACACGAACAGAAACGAGCACACTGATCCCCTAGAACACAGAACACACTCTCACATCCAGGTAGTGTATTTAGAGAGCGGTTAAGCATATACGGTTTAGGAGGGGAAGGGGGGTTTGTGGGCGTAATGATGTTTGAAGCATCACTAAAGTAAGCTTATTATGACCAATTATGATAAAAGTTAAAAATAGCCTTCTGATAGCTCTCAATCAAGATCTTCCCGTTAAAAAGCAGTCCTTTGTCAAGCATAAAAAAATCGTTTTCAAGAAAAATAGTTTAGTAGTTTAACTCCAAATCTGATAAAAAATCTCCAGTGGCTAACGGCATAAATATTGTCTTTGCTAATTATCCGAGCAATATGAATTTTGTTTCTGAATTCTAAATTCAATAGATGCCATTTTACATTTTCTGACCAATAGGAAGTAGAAAAAATATTCCTCTCGGAGATTCCTCGAACCCCTCACCACAACATCAGTTTTTAAGGTTCTTTTTTGGCTCCATTTTGGTTGAAATTTTCTAAAAATATAAGAAAAGCGGCATTTTTGGCCGGTTTTTTCTTCAAAAATTTTTCCAAAATAATGTTTGTGAAAAGCTTTGAAAAATCAATCTATGCAAGTCCTGAAAGATCGTCACAGTTTTTGAATTTTTGAAATACCAATCGCCTATCACAGCATCCTTTGAAGAGCCTCTGCATTGATTGTACTCACAAACAGATGCACTTTCCACCACCGTTGGAGAGGGATGATCTTTCGTGGGGTTCCGTGTGTTTTTTGAAGCCGGCGCCTCCGAGAATGAGACCCAGGAGCACAGTGAAGAAAACCAGTGCTGCAGGGGCCATAGGGATCGCACCCACTCCTTTCCTGTTCAGCAGAACCAGAAAACATTAATTACAACAAGGTCAGGTTTGTTTTGTCGGCACTATCAAAGCAAAAAAAAAACTGAAAAATTCGATCTTTCGTATGAGTTTGGAAGATTGCACTATTATTTCTCAATAAAACTCTAAGAAAGAACAATGAATATTTTGACCAAAATTCTTCGCGCATTGGCAAAAATAAGATTGCAATCGATTATAATCGATTTTTATACAGATTTTATACCAGTAAAACATCGATTGTATGTAACCCAATTAGACACTAAAATGGATAACATAGGGATTTTATACAGTTCAGAAAAACGGATTTTTAGTCTGGAAATGGATTTTTTTGCGGTATAAAATCTGTATAGTATCTGTATAGAATCTGTATAAAATTGATTATAATCGATTGTAATGCATTTTCTAATTTTCTAAGGACCCAAAAAAGTCGATTAAATTGTCTAAAAAATGGTTTAATTTTAAATATTAGTAGCATGCTGTTTAAAAACTCGAAACAAAAGTTGAATTGTAAGTAAACGACACAAATCAAAAAAATCATCGATATAAACAAGATTCAGTCACAAAAATGCAATAAAATCATGAAAGTCATCAATATAAACAAAAGTTTGGGCATAAAATATGCAATAAAATTATCAAAAAACTATCTATGTGAATCAGATATTGTGCAAAAACCAATGTATTAAATAGAGAAAAATATTGCTAAAAATCAATTTTTGCGCTCAAAATATGCCACAAAAATTTAGAAAATCATCATTGTAAATCAGATTTCGTTCATAAACATATGTAAAAAATCAAGAAAAATGTCAAAATAAACCAGAATTTTTATCTCAAAAATATGCAACAAAACTACAAAAAAATAATCATTGTAAGTCAAATTTTGGGCATAAACATATGTGACAAATCAAGAAAGTAGTCAATATTCACTCATAATTATGTTATGTGCAATGGCGGATCTGGGATTTTTTCGAGGGGGATGTTTCAACAACTTTGTCGAACTTTTCTTAGCTTGATCAAGTTGATTTTCCCAGCACTTTCAGAACACAATAGAGACTTTTTTTAAACCAAAAATTTGAAGAAAAAAAAACAGGTCAAAAAGCCATCGAAAGAGGTTCTGATGCAAAACATATGACGATGAGTGCTTTCTTTAAGCCTCCTCAATTCAACTTTAACATTTAGTGGCATTCCAGGAATGTACCTGTAGTCGTCGTACTCGGCTGAGTCTTCTCTGATGTCATCCAGAGAATCGGTGAGAGTGGACAACGACTTGTTGATCTGCAATCAAAACAAAAACGTCCTTTTTGACAGATTACACTTAATCTCAAAAATGGAAAGTAACTGCTATATGATCAGTAACACGGGACCGGCCTATTAGCATGTGTGCCGATTGGCATGCCCATGTAAAATAAAACAGTTTGAAGATCCGCTTTTGTTTACTCAACTTTGCATTTATATCAGAGTGTATTTATCCGAACATTTAATTAGGCGAAAATTGAATTCTTAAATCCTTAACAAATCATTTGGTTTTCGAAATTATTTGAAATTTTAGGCTAAGTTGTTTTTCATCTGAATGCACATCCAATCATAACAATTATCGTATGCTAATAGGCACACATGCTAATTGCTATAACCCCAGAAACTTATTTATTCATTTTTATTCAGGGTGTTCATGTTTATTCAGGTCATTCATGTTTATTCAGTACCACGTTTAATCAGGGCATCTTCTTTTTTCTTTTAGAAGATTTTCCATCTTTGAAAGTCAGTGACTATTTATAAGAAAAAACAAAACTTTTTTTGCAACTTCTTACTACTTTTTGGCTTTTTTCAAGCTCTTTTTTCACTTTGGATGTTTTTTCAGAACTCCCCACTACTTTCAAGCTTTTTTCAAAAACCAAACTATGCATTTTTTGAATTGTAAGCGGATTTCCGCAACAAGCAAAAGTCAAATTTGTCGCGGAATCCCAATTTGTCGCGCAACACTTCTCTGTTGTTTTTGGGTTCTACTGACAAATAGCTGAAACACTGTTTTGCTTAAAATAACTCCAAAAACAGTCAAACTTTGCAACAAATGTGTGGAATCCGGAACCAGTTTGTGGAACCCATGGCAAAGAATAATATATGTGTTTAGTAAGCTTAAGTAAGATGTCGCGGAATCCGCAACTATAAGTGGAATCCGCAAATTGTCAGCGGATTTCGCAAATTGTGAGCGGATTCCGCAAACTGTAAGCGGAATCCCCAAAATTTAAGCGGAATCCGCTTACATTTGCAGAACCCGGTACGACTACCTATATTCGCTCGCTGCGGAATCCGTAACAAAATCAAGTGCCGACAAAATTTGCCTTACAGCTATTTGTACGCGGAATCCACTGAAATTTTGTATGTGAAATCTACTTACATTTTGGAACACGTTTAATGACTTGTCTCTGGAACCCAGGAACATACAGACACAACATTGTGCGCCTATCCAGAGCAAAGTTTGGCCTCGTAATGTGATTCAAGCTTTTTTCAGAATTTTTCGCAGCTCAATCGATTTTTCACTATTTCAAAAACCATTGAAAAATAGGATTATTGAACTTCCAAGGTAAGTAGTTACAATAAATTTGATAATTAAAAATATATCCAGTAGAAGCTAGCCTTAATCAAATACTTTTTATAAATGACCAGCTAGTCGCTTTTGATTTCAGTGAAACTTGTTGTTGTATATTAGAAGAGCTTGGAAGGTTTAACTTACGGTGTCAGTTATTCCATCCCGAGCTTCATCCAAGACATCCGTCAAATTTGAAATTGTAGTTTTCATCATTTGCTCGAGAGCTAAGGAAATTAAGCAGGTCAAAAAAAACTTTTGGAAAATAAACTCTATTCCAATTTATGTTTTTTTCTGGCTAATTGATAAATTGTTCAGCAGAACCTAACCATCCAATTGGGACTCCGTAAGGTTGTTCAGAGTATCGCCCGCCCTTGTAAGAGCCTAAAACAGGAAGTTGCTTTATGTTATAATAAAACAGTTCAGCGAACTGTAAACTTTTCTGAGTTGTTTTCTTTTGTTTTTTAATGATCTCCCAAATCATTAATTCAAAAATTTTATACAGTTCTAAACTTATAACTTCAGAAGTCATTTGATATCGTATGCCCTTATTTTGTAAAGATTGACGCCTGGATAGTTTGAACTTTATTTGGACAAGCTCTGGCTCAGTTGCCTCCGCTTCTCCAGTGGTCGCAATTCATTGTTCACAAAAGTATTAAGGCCAACGGAGATAATCACTCATGTGCGAATGGCCAAAATCGCGATTTTTTTTTCAACCAATCAGAGCTCAGTATTCAATATTTCGAAAAAAAATGAGCAATGAATCAAACAGTTTCGGACATTTTAAAGGGCGTTGATTGGTTGAGAATTTTTTCGCGTTCGGTTCTTCGCGCATGAGAATAGCCCCCAACCCAATGAGTTGAAAGACGATAAAACTGAAGCAGCACTGAGCACTTACATCTTGGAGAAGTAGGGAAGAGTTGAAACCAGACGCTATGCTTGGCCCTGACACAGGTGTTTCCGTGTATGCACCGGTGTAAGTACTGTCCTAAGCATCATAAAAATTGCTTGCAGTTATATATTCGACATATTAGCTCGTTTGCATGCTAGACGCTCCATACTAAAACTTTTCACTTCAGAATACAATACAAACAAAGCGTTGAAAAAACGTTTCAACTAGTTTTAAGAAGAACTGTTGATAATATGCCCCCTCCTCTTCGTCGCCTAAATGCTGTATTGGCCCATGTAAACAATCTCCCCCTATATAGACCAAGTGAACAATCCCCCTGAAGTTAAATGACAAATTCAAGCAGTAAGTGGCCTGCATGCGTTATGCTCAAATCTGATTGTTCTCAACGACCCACATATATTTTTAACTATAAGTGACCAATCTCCCCCCTAAATTGTTTAGGGGGAAAATTGTTCACCTGGACCGCTCTAACAAACGCGGAGATTAGCTTACGTCTATGATGTGTTTGTCGATCTCTGCTATGACATTACTGCAAGGTGCATCTCCCATACATGTGGCATCCCCACCAAGAGCAGCACTGATAGCAGCCAGGGCATTGCTAATCTCCTTCATGTTCTCAGGCTGAGTGCTTCGCCCGTAGTATATGTCATCATAAAGTGAGTCCATTATCCCAGAGTAGTTGCTGTAGTCCGCCATGGCTACAATACAAACATCCACATACACATACACATGTACAAAAATTGAGATCACGCGTCAACCAGCGACTACATATCCAGACCTTCCAGATTGAAGAAGGTATATGCAATGTGAGTCTGGATTCCGATCCGGCGCGACTTTCAAAGTCTGGACATGAGTCCTGGCACTTCGATCCGAGTGATAAAAGATTCCTTCTGCCATTGACTTGTTAATCAGAAAAAATTGTCTCAAGACGAAAAATTTGCAAAAATTTGCTAAAAAAATGCAACGTATAACTTAGTGCAGGCGGTTTGGGTGTTTATCTAATCAGAATAGTTTACAAAACTCAACGTCACCTGTGTCGACGGCAGCAAACTCTGAGGCCAGCGAATCCTCCAGCCAGTCTATGATCGGCTGGAAAATCTGATCTCCCGCTTCTGCAAAATACGAATTGAATCAAGGGGCGAAATTAGGTGCGGCGGGGGGGGGGGACGCCTTTTTCTCTCAAGAATTCGACCCCCTGCCGACCCAAAGGGTCCCATCTTTGAACTAGTTTGAGATATCCATTTTTGGTATAAGGACCCAAAAGTTTTCTGAAGGCGCCAGAGGGTCAAATCCCTGAGGGGGGAGGGGCCTACCGCCCCCGCCGCTACGCCCTCCCCCCTCCTCCTAAATCCGCTACTGGTTTTGACCACGAAAAGAAACGGAAAATTTGTTTCGTATTCTGTTGTTTTTTCAACCTTGCTATTTTTTTTGAGCCTCTTCAAGCATGATTAGATCGACGTTGAGAAAAGGAATAAAGCGGGCAAGTAAAAGCAAAAACTTCCTAAAAAATCTGCACAAAATTTACCGATCGAAACTTTGAAAGCTTCATTTAGCGTTTTTCAGGTACCGATTGAGTTTGGGAAAAATTAAACTGAAATTTGGACATCACATAGGCCGTTTTTAAACCAAACAAATTCACATAAAAAAGTTTAAAGCAGGGTAATTATTTTTTTCATTCTGGAAATTAATACACCCATATCTTTTAAAACGTATAAGAATTTCATGATGTCTATTCTTAAGACTAGCCCGCGCATCGATCCAAAATAAATTTGTTTTGAAAATAAGATTAGAAACTGAAATACCGGATCAATTCAAGGGCCACTGTTTTTTTTTGTGTGGGCTCGTTTTTTGGTTATTCATCAATTTTAGCTTAGGATTTGCAGTCTTCTTTGAACAATTTACCATACATTGTCTCACTACTGTTCCCTATAAAAAATTATTGCTTGTAATCTAATCAAAATTCAAAGTATTGTTAACTTAAAGCAAATTTCAGTGCTAAATCAATTCAATGATCAGCGCAGCGCTACTTTCATAATAATAAACAGTACTGGTTCTAATTGACTGCTGTAAATCATGCTGAAAGAAGCATTGAACCTGCGAAGCAAAAACACTTGAAAATCATTTTCATAAAAAGAATTGTAAATGATACAGCGATGACGATCTTTGTGGGATGAACCCGTCAGGGCAGTATTTTTTGACCAAAGTAGTAACTATTTCGCTTTTTGCATCACCATGCCTTCTTCATCATTGCGATTGTTGGTTTCATTTAAACAATCAGGGCTGAATTGGCTTCTTAAACATTGTACTTTTACAATTAAAACACTGTTCGTTTTTTAATTGCTCTGATTTTGTTGGGCTCTTTTGTTCAAATATGGGCGAAATTTTTGATATTATTTGACGGGGACTAGATAGTGAATATGTAGTTAATTACTGTCTCAAAATCAAGTTGTGGGATATTCAGACAACACTTCTTTGAAAAAGAAAAGTGTAAAGTGAGAAGGGGGGCAGTTACTTGTAAGTAAATTTCGTTTACAAGTAAGTTACTAGAAAGTTATCATTTTTTAAATTACTTTAACTTACTAGTATGTTTCAAAAACTCAAGGTCTGCTTGAAAACTAGCAGCTTTGAAGACTATTCTTTTACACGAACTAAAAATCCGCTAAATAATTATTATGATCAATATTATCAAGTAAAGCAGCGTTGCAGTATATGAAAACAAGTTTATCTGCTCTTTCGACTGATAATTGAGCCTCATTTTTACAAAAATTTTATTTTGGTTCAATTTACTAGTAATAAGCCTTATTTAACTTACTAGTATGTTACTAGTAAGTAATTCCGCACAAACCTAGAAGTGAGACTTCGCTTAATTTGAAGCAAAAGCTAATGCAACCCGTGTTGACCTCCATACACTGAAAATGCTTATCATACAATTCCATGCCTCTGCGTTGAATTGTTTCGTTGATGATTATTATGTTGTTTTGTTTATTGATAATTTTTTTCATGTTTCTGAAATGCTTGTTTTGTTTTAGACAGTTTTTTGAAACAGTTATTCAGCCATCACCAAGTATGTTTTCCGGCGTCATCAGGTAAAGTTTTCTGCATTACAGGTATTTATTTTTTCATCGGATAATAATGGCTTTGCTTGGGAACCAAAATTTTGCTCTGAACGGCGGAAAAAGATTTTTACTACCAACGTCTTTGAGGTCGTTCAGAGCATTTTTTGGAAACCCACGAGAATATTGAAATTATTTGTTTATTCAGTTTCTATGTCGCGCCAAATATGGTTCTTTGTTAATCGTACGTCGCGCCAAATATATGTTTCCATGGTATCCATACGTCGCGCCATGCATGGTACCATAGTAACCATAAGTCGCGCCATCCATGATACCATTGTAACCATACATTGCAAGCATCCATGGTGACATATAAATTATCAACAGCCCTGGTAAAAGTATCAATATTGTCTAATTTGAAGCTCCTATAATAAAAAAATGTGCAACCATACGTCGCGCCATGCATGGAAAGTGTGTTATTTTAACATAAAAATACGTCGGCAATTTTTCATGGTTTCCATGAACCATGCATGGTGCGACGTATGGTTGCACATTTTGGTCAACCCGGGAATGCTGTTCCTGAACTCAGAGATAGTTTTCAGCCCAACCTCGATTGGTAATAACTTGGATCAAGCATGGACAGATGCATGATTAAATCGATTCAAAGTTTTTTGGCTTTTTTTACTACATCGGCTTATTGGATCTCATTTCTTTCATCTTAATCATTTATTTAGTCTCATCTTCCCAGCTTTGTTTTCTCAAAAGAAAAGTAGATTGATTTTCTTGTATACTCTATTCGATAGCACCTGTTCATCGATTTCGGCGGCGATGTTAATTCAAGTTTTCAGATATTGTATACTTAAAAGCTTTTTGTGTAGGTCAGATTTGTGACGAACCATAACTGAATGAAGACTAATTTTAGGAGAACCTTCTGAGAGGCGTTTTTGTGAGATCCGGGGAAATCACAAACAATGAAATTGCCCACCAGTAGGGCATTTAGGGGGGGGGGGGGTGCTCTACTAATACTATTTTAAAACATTTAAGTTGTATTTTTAATAGTAAAAGGTTAAAAATGAATATTGTACTAATAGGGGGAGTGATGGCATCTTAAGAATATAGTGTGACCTTGAAAGCCTTTGTCATCATTGCGATAGTGATTGAAAATGACTTGCCTTGCATGTCGGCAATAATGATGTCAGTCACATTGGAGAACATCAAAGTCCCAGTGTCAAACATGTCCTGAAAAAGTCAGCAAAGTGCCATGCAAAAACATAGATCAAGTACGTGGATCTTCCAATTCATCCCATCAATGTTACTAGTAAAAAATTGCCACACGTATACAGAATTAGTTCAACCGTTACGATATGTGAATTTTGTACCATAGTAATGAATCTTTTTCCCCCTGAGAAAAATGGGTAGAATAGTTAAAGAGATCCAAATAAAGTACCATTTTTGTCTTATTCTGGAATGAGTGACAGATTTCACAACTTTCCCGCACTCAGTAAAACGAGAAAATAATCGATTATATTACAATTACAATTGTACTTATATCAAAATTATATTTATTATAAGCGCCAAATCTAGATGTTTGAACGACCTATAACTCATTATAATGATAACGAAGACAAAATTGACAAACAAAAGAAATTATAATCGATTATAATGGATTTTTTCTGCAAAACAAATAAATTAGAAATTCGATTAAAAATGATCAATTAAATTGATTATAATAGTCTCGAAAAAAAGATGGATTAATAATTGCTTAAAATCGATTGAAATGTCTTTTAATCGATAATTATTTGATTTTGAAAAGAGAGATTATAATTAATTGTGAATTGATTAAAATCAGTTTTTTCTCAGTTTCAGTAAGACTGGTACTATAATCATAATATAATCGATTATTGACGTTTGAAACTGGATGCGGGTTCCATATAAGTTCAACCGAAAATTAACCAGATAAACTGTTTCAAAATTGTGACACTGTGATCTTCTAATCATCAAAATTGTTTTCTAGCTTTTTTTTTGTGACGAATTTGCCCAAAATGTTTGTTTATTTTTTATTTTGAGACCATGTATGGCAGTCTTGTACATGACAAAATATGTTGGACTAGCTAGCTGATCCTTAAAAGTACATTTGACTATTTTGTAATTTGCATCTTTATTGTGCCTATGTGAGCAAAATAAAACGGACAACAATTTGGTTTCTAAAACTGCTCAAAAATTTTGTTTTGTGGGACTCAAGTTGCGCGCGGTTCATGTTGCAACTTTGCGTGACCCATTTTGCGACTTTGAGCGACTCAAGCCTCTTGCTGGAGTATAGAACTTCGGTCACAGAAAGTCTATTTCGGCTGCCCAAATCGGTCTCAGCATGGGTAGCGTACCTCAGGCCGGGTCTCAGGCAATCACCCGAACTCTTATGTGAGTAAAAAAGACCCAAAGGGTCTGCACACTACGTTTTGTGCCATGTCAATGTGAATTTTATGTTTCAAAAATTAAAAAGATCTTTTTTCTTATATATCAAGGGGGCTTCTTAGTTACGACTCTTATTTGATGAATTAACAGTCGTATCTAAGAAATTCTCTTCGTGTAAAACATAAAAGACTCTAATGTTCGACTCGGCACAACACGCAGTGAGCAAACTCTTTCGATCTTTTTTTTTCGCTCACATAAAATTCATTAATAACAAATTCTTGAAGAAAGTAGTTTGTCTGAGTATTTAGATTGTAATCTACTGACTGAAATGACGTTGTTGACCCAGTCACCGATGGTTTGAATGCTGTCTTGTGGGAACTCGAAGGCCTTGTCTGGTATATCTTCAGTGATCTGATTGTTCGTTGCAGTCAACATGGCCCCACCCAAACTATTCAAAAAAAATGAAATACTAACTGAAAATTGTTATCTGAGAAAAAAATTACATGAAAAATATAAATTTAGCGAGAAATTTTTTTTAGAAAGTTTTAAAACTAAACTGTTGAAAAACACCAAAAACACCTAAAGTTTTTAGCACATTTCAAACCTAAACTGTTGACAATCGTAATTAAAGAGTGTTAGAAAGCTTGCGACTTCTTTAATTTATGATAAAAATTGTAGAAAAAAAAAGAAATTATTAATATATACTTTTTCAAACTCTAGATCATTAAGACTCCAGTCCAAAAAACTTTTGTTAGAAAATCATAAATCGTAAGCGATTGATCTTTATGGGTGAGGGGTAGCCGAAGGGGTAGTTAGTTAAATCTTTATTATCAATAATAAATATGTTTATTATAGGGAGTATACTCGACTATTATTTATACAACTCATAACAAAAAAACAATCCATCTTGGAAGAACACCCATAAAGCCATCTAGCTACCTATCCAGTAGTCTGTTCAAAGTATTCTACTTACCCGGCCAGCACCATTCCGAGTATGGTTCCCACGAGGAGAACGACACAGCATACAGTGGTGGGGTTCTTCTGTCTCTTCTGGGCACCACACTTGTTGCAGCAGCACCTGCAGATGCAGAAGCAGCAGCTGACAAGTGGACAGCAGAAAACGAAGAGCAGACTCAAGGTCACGATCACTGTGAACACTATGTAGCTGCTGTAGTTGTCCGACAACAGCTGAAACAATCTATGTCGTGTTCCGACAACTAATGAAACACAATACTATTCTATCCTAATGCTGTGTTCCGACTCTAATGAACTAATGAAACACATTACTATTTTATTCTAATGATGTGTTCCGACAACTAAAGAAACTCATTACAAATTTATTCTATAATGCCAAAGTTAGGGGTGGGGGGGCGTACTAGGGGGCGTTCAGTTTCCTATCGTTAATTGTACTTAAGATCTTAAGGATAGTATTTCTTTTGAAGTTGACCCTGGTTTATGAAAAAATCATTGTGAATGAAAAGAATCATTGAGATACGTTTTGTTTCCTCTTTCAGAAACATCAGAGATAGAAACACTCTCCGTTACTTCGAATTAGTCTTCACTTTTGGTGCTACTTTTTGGTTTTAATTTTGCCCTACCAGCCTATTTTTTTTCGAAAGGGGTCTTGAGTAACTTCAATGAATGATAATTGAGTCTTTCCCACTATAGTTTTCTTCCATCACTAGATTATAGACCCCTCGAAATACAAAAATCACTGCTAAGGGTGGGGGCCTTAAAATATATGAAAATGTACATCTGCAAAAAATGAGGTTGCTTGTTCGGGTTGAAACAAATGGGGCTTTTTTAAGTTGTATTTAAAAAAATATTGAAATACCGTCTGTGTTTCCTCCAGTATGTATGATGGATCCCCTTTCTTGTCAGCCAGGCTAAAAAAAATTGAAAATGTGATTAAAACAATTCACCTTATAATTAAATATTACATAATAATTAGAGACAGGACTTAAGAAAAAAGTTGATTGAATCAATGTAAAGTTATAATTTATCTCAATAATCAACAAACCGGTACTTGAAAATTTTATTGATAATCTCAAACCCGGTCTCTCCTCGTCATAAGTTATAATACATCAATAATGGAGTCCAATAATCGCCAAAGAGACATAGAACGGAGCCCTGGTCCCATGAAACCCTTGCAGTCGTAATTGAAACGACATTAAAAACTTGCCAACATTTTTTTGCCAACGTCGATAAAAACCGGTTTGAAATTTTGATTTTTCGTATATTTTTGAACGAGTAAAGAGATCGAGTAACCTTCGTTATCTATAAAGTTTCCAAATTAGGCTAATTTTAATTGGTTTCATTAAATGTAAAGTTTGTTTACAGACTTATCTTTTAAAATATTTACTCATATATCATATTTTTGGCTATTTTAAAAAAAAGAAATGTAAAGGTGTTTGCCGAATTCACTAAATTGCTACGTGTTTGTAAAGTTATCATCAGACTACATACATGAAAAGACTCTAAATTGAGAAAATATGTTTTTTTTTTCTGGTCGGACTATTCTGTGCTATTTAAAGAGCAACCGGCAACTCTTGTTAATAATTTTTGATAGCTATAAAAAATTTTTTTTTGAATTTAATTTTACAAAATAAAACGCTTTAATCATAATGCTCATTATTAGAACAATTTTTAGATATAATTTAATTAAAAAAAATTACACAAAAAGTTTTTTTTATTATTCTATAATTTCTAATATTTATTTGGTTTTTTGTATTCAAGTATGACCTTCATGCACAAAAGTTGTCTATCATACAATTCCATGCAAGAGAAACGCTTGTCAAACAGTTTACTACACGAAATGCTTGGTAAAATTTTTTATCATACAACTAACAATATGAAAATTGTATGATAAACAACTTTTACTTTGCTGCAGAAGAAAGTTCAAATTTCAGTAATTTTTTTCTCAATTGTTAGTCACAATATCATTTTCAAGCTGAAATAAGCATTTATTGACAAAAAATTTACATATCAAAAGTTTTGTTATAATTATCTATAACTTAGTAACGTAATACAGGCTGATTTTTTCATACAAAAGAAAAACAAAATCGACATAGATTTTTTGCGCGAGTCACAACTAGAAATTTTAAATGCCTTTATATGTGAAATGTTCTTCAATTAGTCCTACAAAGATCAGGCCGCCATTGTTGTGTAGTAAATTTTGACAAAATATTTTCCAGCCATAGACACACGTTCCTGTTTTTTTTTTTTCAAAAATTTCTGAAGGAATTATGAAACCTTATTCATAATTATAATTTTAGATGATTTTGATCTGTGAGATTTTTCGCTCAACCCTTGATGTTTCTCATGTGCGAAAACCCTTCCGTTTGGTGTTTTCAGAGAAAATGCAAAAACATTTGGCCAACACTATAAACAATAATGTGTTGATTTATAGAAAAATGCTTGTCGCACAATTTTCATATTTGAAAAAAGCTTGTCGTAGAGTTTCTCACAATTTTCTGTACGAATGGAATGTACGAAATTGTATGATAAGTCTTTTTCCAAGTATCAAAACTTTATGACAAGCATTTTTGGTCCACCTATGATGATTTAATTTTTTTTCCGTTTAACTATGTAAGGTTTTTCTGGTCTGATTTTTTTTGTAGCAGACATCTTCTCAAGTTTTTATTAGAATTGCTCATTAACTTACAACTTATGAGTACAGCGTTAGAAATGGGTTTTGATCTTACCTTGGATCTGCAAGTAAAGTTTCGTTGCTGTCAGTGCCCAGGAACGTCTGTGCCATGGCGCCAATGCCGTCTGAACAAAAAACAAACACACACTATCATGACCATTACTAGATAAAACTTTTTATTTTGTGAATTGTAAGCGGATGCCCTGGTTATCATATAGTCAAGACATCTACCGATGTATCGGTATGTCTTTACTAATTGCAGTGTTGTCGTTGTAGACTAGTTGAGTTGCCTTGTGCGCATTTAAGGTCAACGCTAACCACCTCCAGTTTCCCAAAAAGAATATGGGTACTTTGACCCAAGGAACCCCCCATCAAAAAGAAATATAAACTATTTTTAAAACCTTCCGCTCTTCTCAAATTTTATGAAAAAGAAAGTTACATTTTCTGAAACATTTGATCACTGAGGAAGAATAAAACATATCTTGCTCCGTTTTTCTTGTTTGTCGCGTTTTGTCACAAAGTTTTTCCTTTTCTGTTGCAACATTTAAAAAACGTTTCGCTTTAGAGCAGAAGCGCCATAAACACACAAATCAAAAACATGCCGTAAATGAAAAAACTTAAATGTATAATTACAATAAAAGCAGCAATTAACAGCTCAGTTTGCTAAATGCCGCAGGTGTTTCAGCATCAGATACGTATCATCAGTTCTCCGCATCAAAAATTGCAGATTCAGTCAAACGCTTTCTGAATTAAAAAAGCCGGAACAATTAAAACTACAGCTTGTTTCAGAAAGAATTTACAAAGCTGATTCAAAATATCAGGAGTAAAATTTTAAAAAAACTTGAAACTTAAAACGCGTTTTACTCAAATTGGTTTGACCGCAAATAATAGAAAAGAAAGAGAAAAATTTGTATAGATTTTTAGCAGATTTAAAATAGTGCAACTTGTCTTGCTATATTCGGACCCGACAGATTACCCCAAAAACGGCTGTACAACGGCTGCACCTCAAAAGTTTCTTAGGCAGAACAAAAAAACTGAGGAAAGGTGTAATCTCTTCTTCGGACATTGAGTAAATGAGTAAGTGTTGAGCAAGTGTTGAGCTATGTAAGAGCTGTTTTTATGATTATGACTTAAAAAATTCTTAGTCTTGTTGTAATACTATCAAAAGAGGGCGGGCTATAACTGCATCTTTTTGTGCATGATTAAGGTGTAGCCATGATCGTTGGGCTGACTAACCGGGTTGACCAAAACTTCTTTTCATACAATTTCCATATATGAGAAAATTCTTGTCATACAATTTCATACAATTCCATACGTTCAGAAAATTGTATGAAAACTCTATGATAAGCATTTTTCCATATATGGAAATTGTAGGATAGGTGTTTTTCTTGTTTTTCTAAAAGTTAATTTCTTGTTTCTAAATTTAATTTCTGAAAAATTTTGGATTGTGTTTGTAACTTAACTCAAGTGACAAAGATCTTCGTTTACTCAAAGCACCCAAGGTTGGACGGTCTTGCATGTACAAGCCATAGAATATGCCCTGAATTTTCTTTACGCAGTTTTTCGCAAAAGATATAACGAAAGTAACAAACTTTTGAAATTTGTTAAAACTTTTCAAAGATGATTATTTTAAGTTTTTGGGTTTTCAAATTGTCAGACATTGATCAAGGCATACATAAGCATGCCATATAAAAAATGGGAATTTTCAGCGTTTTTGAAAAAAAATTATTCAGCGAAAAGGAAAAAATCCAACATCAATGTATCCAGGACTACGTTATGCGCACAAAAAGTTAAATTGCAAGCACAAAAAAAAATTTTATAGAAATTTTAGCTTGAATACAAAATCCAATTTGCGGATAAAAAAAATAAAATTGTGGCAATTTCAAAACCACTTTCATAATTTTTTGTCGCCATCAAAAAAAATGGCAGTAATACAGTTTCTATATATGGGAATTGTATGATAAGCATTTTTTTCAAAAAACGAAAACTTCGGTTTTCTATTACCAGACTGTTTTATTAGAACCAAACAGCCACAGAAATAAATCTTTTTTCAACCATTTTTGGGAATTTTATGAAAATTGTATGACAAATGTTTTTACACGCACTTGACATATGGAATTGTATGATAATCATTTAGATGTATGGAGGTCAACTCGGAGACAAGAAGGAGAAAAAAATAAGTAGATTTTTAGCAGATTTTAAATAGTGCAATTTTTCTTGCAATAATCGGGGCCAACAGATTACCCCCAAAAAACGGCGGCACAACGGCTGCACCTCAAAAATTTTTTAGGCAGAACAAAAAATTTTAGGAAAGGTATAATCTCTTCTTTGGACATTATACTCTTCAATTATGTTGAACCATGTAAGAAGCTCACTGTGATATAGATTTACCCAGTAGCAGATTTAACCGGAGGCGCTCCCTTCTTCAGGGATTCGACCCCCTGCCGACCCAAAGGGTCCTCCTTTGCACTATTTTGAGATATCTTTCTTTAAGAAGGTAGCCTAAAAACTTTCTGAAGTTTTCCAATATAAACTATTTTTTGAGGGGGAGGGCACGCCGAAAAAATGCAATTTTTTGGTCAAATTTATACAAAAACTACCTAAGAACGCCTCAGAAAATCAATTTGGTCGACCTAAAAAAAAAGTCGACCAAATGTCCGAAATTTTTTTGAAAGTCCGCCTCCCCTTCGATAAAATCTTAGATCCGCCCCTTGTTTTCTCAATAATTTATTTTGGTGTAAATTTTTATTGACTTTAAGAGCCAAATTTGTTCCATTTTTGGGGTAAAATGTTGGGTCCGGGTTTTCCAAAACAACAGTTTTCCACCCTACTCGAGCTGCCAAAGTTCTTAGACAGTTTTTTATCATCTTTTGTCAAAAGTCAACCCAATTTAATTAATAAGCGTTTCACATTTCAATTCTTACGCGTTTCGTCCGGACTTTTTAAATCAGCATTGTACGACCGTAGCCACCCAAAATTGGGAATTTTAGACAGGCGCGACTTAATTTGGCAACTTCACAAAAGGGCGATTTAAAATTGGTAATTCCAGACCTGCACGACTGAGTCTATTTAAGGAAGGTTAAACATAATAAATTATAATCTATGATGTATGTAAATCTGTATCTATCTGTTAGGAGCTTTCCATTTTACGGCTTGGTCGTAAACTTGATTTTACGGCAGAGTTACTAAAAATGATTTTAAACCAGACCTAATGTCAAAATAAAAATGATTGAAGCAAAATAAATCGTTATTATTTATCGAAAAAAAATACAAACCAAAAATACAAGTTTTTACAAGAACAATTTTTATTAATTTTTCTGAGCGGCAAAAAAATAAAAACAACCGAAGTTATTGAAAACGTAGAAATTAAAACTAGATTTGTTTTTCCAGGTGAAATTAATCACTAATAACCGGTTCAGACAAAGTAGAAATTGGAAACTAAAGAAGAAAAAACGCAATTGAAAGACAATTTTATGACTTTTTTTCACATTTCTGAGACTTTGCTGGAAATATTTTTGAATACTCTCGAATTATGTTGCAACTGCGCTCGACCTTATTTTCGAGTGCAGTCTTTTATGTTTTTCCAAAATTCTCGACGATCCACTAGTATGAGAAAACTGAAAATAAATTTGTAATATTTTCCATTGCAACTGATTTTTGGCAATAATTTTTAAACTGCAAAGTGCTATATGAATATATGAAATGGCTAAAATCTGGCATCGAAAATTAAATTATTCATTTCGATTCATTTCTGCATTGATTGTTTTTGAGCCCTGGTTGAAGTCCCACCGTTAATTATCGTTGCATAGATAAACCTGCGATTTTTCAGAGCTACCCAGTTGACATCCATAAAAAAAGCTTATCATACAATTTCTTATACGGCGACCTTGAAAAAATGTTATCATACGAATTTCGTACAAATTTAAAAACTGTATCAAGGGTTTTTAGAGAAATACTTCTGTTCCGTTTCCATCTTTTTAATCTTTCTGCTCAATATTTTTTTTTGTTAAAAAATTGCTTAAAAAATTCCAGACAATGTAACTAAAAAGTAAAAAGCTTAGTAGTCTTACTACACAATCGGATGTTACTGTATGATCATTACATGAATGAATGGATCTGAAAACCTGGCTAGCTAAACTTGTCGGCTACTTCACACATTTTGGATGTTCTGAGCCAGAAGGAGTTTTTGTACATTTTTCTTCATATTTTTTGTGTATCAGTCTTCTTTTCTAAAAAACGCATTGGCCACAGTTTTGTGGAGTTTTTATCAGTTAGTTATTCTTGGCACAACATTATAGACACGATTAATTTTTCGACCATTGCGACCAAGATACGGACGGTACTTCCAGCTTTTGTCTGTGACTTAATACTCTGTTCAAACTACTGATTTTTGGTCGCGGAATTAACATCGACACTACCAACAAACTCGGGCTGAGGTTTCATTCCTCACACTTTTGCCGATAGTTATTTATATTTTTCTGAGACATAGCAACTCTCTGAGACCTGATGTTTCTGCTAATGGTATCAAAAACTTGTGGGATTTGGACATAAAATCACGACCTCGACCCGCGTGCTAAAACTGAACATAGTCAGCTATAACCGAAAAGTTTCGAACAAAATTGACAAAGTTGTGTGACGCGAACAAAATCGAGCAAAGTCGAATTATGTCCGGTGAAGTCAAAAAGTCCAGGTCAGAGAAAAGTTGCAAAGAGAAAAGTCCAAGGTCTGTCGAATCATGGAGTCAAGAACCTCAACCGGGGGGCGGGGGGGGGGAGTTGAAATATATGTCGCGGGCCTCGCCCGGGTAGACGTTGTCGAGAAAGTAGTTGAGTTTTAGCTTACCCCATGGAAGTCCAGCAGGGAAGACGAACTTGAAGAAGCCCTTAACTATCTCCTCCAAGTAGATGGACATCGCAAGTCCGAAATCAGGCTCAGTGTCCACCAAAACATTGGAGGGCGTTCCGGATGCCGGCGGGAAAGAGATGGAGCCATTGACGAGGCAGACAGTCGTGCTCACGTCACAACTTTGAACTGTCGAAGCAGAAAACAATATCACTGATGTTGCCAGATAGACCAAACTAGCCAAGGACATCCCGGATCGGCAACTCATAATCTGACGGTTGCTGGCGCTCAGCATCTTGTCAAGTTTTTTTTTTTACCTCAGTTTCATTTTCTGAATTTTATAACTCAATAATCAGTCACGTAAGCAAAAGCAAGATTATGTAAAAGACTTTTGGTGGTTTGACTTGACTGAACCAATGAATAAAGTTACAATAAATATTGAAAGCACTTTACACACTTATTCATGAACACAACTAGTTTGAAAACTACTTTGGTAAAAAGTAAATGCGAGCCATAAAACTGCTGAAAAACATTTGCATCACTATAAAACTGCTGGTAAATATGAAAAATTAATTATTGACGTCAGCAAAAACTTACAATAAAAAACAGAAGACCAGCTGTCAGGCAAAGCAGAATCGGTAATAACTTTATCAAGCGATCAAAAGAATCGCTATTAAAATTTAAAATGATTTCTGTTTCTGCGAATCGAAAAAGATCTAAGAAACTGTATAATAACAGGCTTGTCTAAGCATAGACCGTTTCTTGTTTAAAAGAAAGAGTATGACCATACTTTCATGTCTTGAGCGAATTGAACAAACAATGGAATGGTATTTAAATTTTTCAGAGATTGATTTTTTTTAGGAATTCAATGTTTTCTGGAGGCTAGTTTTAATTATTTAAGCTTGTATAACAAATATATCAAACCAGTAAAGCAAAAAAACCATAAGCTTTTTAACAACCGAATGAATAAAAATGTGCCATAAATTGCCATAAAAAGCAAAGAAAAAATGTACATTAATTTTCACCATAGCAAATGGCAAACTACGTCAAGTTTGAAAACTTGTTAAAATGTTTATTGGATGATTTGCAGCCATCGAAGCATATGATTTTCCGTAGGTGCAAAAATCAATCGCAAAGCCAGCCATGGAAAAAGTACGTCTAACACGTGATTTAAGAGATGATACACCATAATATCAAGGAGTTCGCTTGCCTTGTAAGAATGATCAAGGATATTGCGACCCCACCACCCGTACGCAGGCAACCATTGTTTGGTTTCCTGAAGACACTTGTACCACAGAAAACAGGAATCAATTGTTGAGATAACCCAAGATACTATTTAATTGAAAATAACTTCATTTTATTTAAAGTGAAATGCAACAAATGCCGAACAGATTTCCCAGTTCAGATAATTGTTGGAGGCCAAAAGGTATCACCTCGTTAAAGCCTTCTGACAAAAGAAGACTTAAATCTGCTGAATATTTTCCTCGGAGATTTCGAGTACACCGTCAGCTGCATGAATTCACAACGTTCGGTCTCTTCCTTTGGTCGACGTCCGTCATTACAACTTCCTGGTGTATCTGAGAAGTATGTTTTTTTTTCTGACAGTTTGATAGGTCAGTTGAGCAAAATTGGGTTTTCATCCAACTGGTCGGCTGTAACTTCAAAAGCGAGAGCCCCATCTTAGCCCTCGCTGAAATCCTACCTCTCGCAAGTCTTACAGCACCATCTTACCTCTTGCTAGGATCTTACCTCTCAAAAGTCTTAAAACCTTATCGTAGCCTTTGCTGAAATCCTACCTCACACAAGTCTTAGAGCACCATCTTAGCCCTTGCTGAAACGCTACCTCTCACAAGTCTTAGAGCACCATCTTAGCCCTTGCTGAAACCCTAACTCTCACAAGTCTTAGAGCACTATCTTAGCCCTTGCTGAAACCCTAACTCTCACAAGTCTTAGAGCACCATCTTAGCCCATGCTGAAACCCTAACTCTCACAAGTCTTAGAGCACCATCTTAGCCCTTGATGAAACCCTAACTCTCACAAGTTTTAGAGCACCATCTTAGCCCTTGCTGAAACCCTAACTCTCACAAGTCTTAGAGCACCATCTTAGCCCTTGCTGAAACCCTAACTCTCACAAGTCTTAGAGCACTATCTTAGCCCTTGCTGAAACCCTAACTCTCAGAAGTCTTGGAGCACCATCTTAGCCCATGCTGAAACCCTAACTCTCACAAGTCTTAGAGCACCATCTTAGCCCTTGCTGAAACCCTAACTCTCACAAGTCTTAGAGCACTATCTTAGCCCTTGCTGAAACCCTAACTCTCACAAGTCTTAGAGCACCATCTTAACCCTTGCTGAAACCCTAACTCTCACAAGTCTTAGAGCACCACCTTAGCCCTCGCTGAAACCCTAACTCTCACAAGTATTAGAGCACCATCTTAGCACTTGCTGAAACCCTAACTCTCACAAGTCTTAGAGCACCATCTTAGCCCTTGCTGAAACCCTAACTCTTACAAGTCTTAGAGCACTATCTTAGCCCTTGCTGAAACCCTAACTCTCACAAGTCTTAGAGCACCATCTTAGCCCATGCTGAAACCCTAACTCTCACAAGTCTTAGAGCACCATCTTAGCCCTTGATGAAACCCTAACTCTCACAAGTTTTAGAGCACCATCTTAGCCCTTGCTGAAACCCTAACTCTCACAAGTCTTAGAGCACCATCTTAGCCCTTGCTGAAACCCTAACTCTCACAAGTCTTAGAGCACTATCTTAGCCCTTGCTGAAACCCTATCTCTCAGAAGTCTTGGAGCACCATCTTAGCCCATGCTGAAACCCTAACTCTCACAAGTCTTAGAGCACCATCTTAGCCCTTGCTGAAACCCTAACTCTCACAAGTCTTAGAGCACTATCTTAGCCCTTGCTGAAACCCTAACTCTCACAAGTTTTAGAGCACCATCTTAACCCATGCTGAAACCCTAACTCTCACAAGTCTTAGAGCACCATCTTAGCCCTCGCTGAAACCCTAACTCTCTCAAGTTTTGGAGCACCATTTTAGCCCTTGCGGAAACCCTAACTCTCACAAGTCTTAGAGCACCATCTTAGCCCTTGCCGATATCTTACCTCTCACAAGTCTTAGAGCACTATCTTAGCCCTTGCTGAAACCCTAACTCTCACAAGTCTTAGAGCACCATCTTAGCCCTTGCTGAAACCCTAACTCTCACAAGCCTTAGACCACCATCTTAGCCCTTGCTGAAACCCTAACTCTCATATGTTTTAGAGCACCATCTTAGCCCTTGCTGAAACCCTAACTCTCGCAAGTCTTAGAACATCAACTTAGCCCTTGCCGAAATCCTACCTCCCACAAGTCTTAGAGCACCATCTTAGCCCTTGCTGAAACCCTAACTCTCACAATCTTAGATCACCATCTTAGCCCTTGCTGAAACCCTAACTCTCACAAGTCTTAGAGCACCATCTTAGCCCTTGCTGAAACCCTAACTCTCACAAGTCTTAGAGCACTATCTTAGCCCTTGCTGAAACCCTAACTCTCACAAGTTTTACAGCACCATCTTAGCCCTTGCTGAAACCCTAACTCTCACAAGTCTTAGAGCACCATCTTAGCCCTTGCCGAAATCCTACCTCTCACAAGTCTTAGAGCACCATCTTAACCCTTGCTGAAACCCTAACTCTCACAAGTCTTAGAGCACCACCTTAGCCCTCGCTGAAACCCTAACTCTCACAAGTATTAGAGCACCATCTTAGCACTTGCTGAAATCCTAACTCTCACAAGTGTTAGAGCACCATCTTAGCCCTGGCTGAAACCTAACTCTCACAAGTTTTAGAGCACCATCTTAGCCCTTGCTGAAACCATAACTCTCACAAGTCTTAGAGCACCATCTTAGCCCTTGCTGAAACCCTAATTCTGACAAGTCTTAGAGCACTATTATAGCCCTTGCTGAAACCCTAACTCTCACAAGTCGTACAGCCCCACTTTACCTCTTGCTAGGATCTTACCTCTCAAAGGTCTTAAAACCTCATCGTAGCCTTTGCTGAAATCCTACCTCACACAAGTTTTAGAGCACCATCTTAGCCCTTGCGGAAACCCTAACTCTCACAAGTCTTAGAGCACCATCTTAGCCCTTGCCGAAATCCTACCTCTCACAAGTCTTAGAGCACTATCTTAGCCCTTGCTGAAACCCTAACTCTCACAAGTCTTAGAGCATCATCTTAGCCCCTGCTGAAACCCTAACTCTCACAAGTCTTAGAGCAACATCTTAGCCCTTGCTGAAACCCTAACTCTCACAAGTCTTAGAGCATCATCTTAGCCCTTGCTGAAACCCTAACTCTCACAAGTCTTAGAGCACCATCTTAGCCCTCGCTGAAACCCTAACTCTCACAAGTATTAGAGCACCATCTTAGCACTTGCTGAAACCCTAACTTTCACAAGTGTTAGAGCACCATCTTAGCCCTTGCTGAAACCCTAACTCTCACAAGTCTTGGAGCACCATCTTAGCCCTTGCTGAAACCCTAACTCTCACAAGTCTTAGAGCACCATCTTAGCCCTTGATGAAACCCTAACTCTCACAAGTCTTAGAGCACTATTATAGCCCTTGCTGAAACCCTAACTCTCACAAGTCTTACAGCACCATCTTACCTCTTGCTAGGATCTTACCTCTCAAAAGTCTTATAACCTCATCGTAGCCTTTGCTGAAATCCTACCTCACACAAGTTTTAGAGCACCATCTTAGCCCTTGCGGAAACCCTAACTCTCACAAGTCTTAGAGCACCATCTTAGCCCTTGCCGAAATCCTACCTCTCACAAGTCTTAGAGCACTATCTTAGCCCTTGCTGAAACCCTAACTCTCACAAGTCTTAGAGCATCATCTTAGCCCTTGCTGAAACCCTAACTCTCACAAGCCTTAGAGCACCATCTTAGCCCTTGCTGACACCCTAACTCTCATAAAATTTAGAGCACCATCTTAGCCCTCGCTGAAACCCTAACTCTCACAAGTCTTAGAGCACCATCTTAGCCCTTGCCGAAATCCTACCTCTCACAAGTCTTAGAGCACCAACTTAGCCTTTGCTGAAACCCTAACTCTTACAATCTTAGATCACCATCTTACCCCTTGCTGAAACCCTAACTCTCACAAGTCTTAGAGCACCATCTTGACCCTTGTTGAAACCCTAACTCTCACAAGTCTTAGATCACCATCTTGGCCCTTGCTGAATCTCTAACTCTCACAAGTTTTAGAGCACCATCTTAGCCCTTGCTGAAACCCTAACTCTCACAAGTCTTGGAGCACCATCTTAGCCCTTGCCAAAATCCTACCTCTCACAAGTCTTAGAGCACCATCTTAGCCCTCGCTGAAACCCTAACTCTCACAAGTCTTAGAGCACCATCTTAGACCTCGCTGAAACCCTAACTCTCACAAGTATTAGTGCACCATCTTAGCACTTGCTAAAACCCTAACTCTCACAAGTGTTAGAGCACCATCTTAGCCCTTGCTGAAACCCTAACTCTCACAAGTCTTAGAGCACCATCTTAGCCCTTGCTGAAACCCTAAATCTCACAAGTCTTAGAGCACCATCTTAGCCCTTGCTGAAACCCTAACTCTCACAAGTCTTAGAGAACTATCTTAGCCCTTGCTGAAAACCTAACTCTCACAAGTCGTACAGCACCACCTTACCTCTTGCTGAAATCCTACCTCACACAAGTCTTATAGCATCATCTAAGCCCTTGCTGAAACCCTAACTCTCACAAGTCTTAGAGCATCATCTAAGCCCTTGCTGAAACCCTAACTCTCACAAGTCTTAGAGCACCATCTTAGCCCTTGCCGAAATCCTACCTCTCACAAGTCTTAGAGCACTATCTTAGCCCTTGCTGAAACCCTAACTCT